ATCATTTGTGGCCAACCTATCATAGGCTCTGGACATTTGCACGTAATGTGTAAAAGTGATGTACGAGAGAGTACTGAAAGTTTCGCCACGCTCGGCGCGGTAGTTTCAGGGATAATGCGGGAAGACCAAAAAAAGCAGGGTATATTGAGTGAAGGGTAGGACGAACTTTGGTAGGAATTTCTAGTATAACTACAAGAAAACCTACTATATGTGGTCGGGACTAGCAAAAGGTTAGTTCAAACTAGAATATGGTAGCGCTTATGGTTGGCAGTCGTGACGCGCACGTGACATTCATTTCTTAAATTCCTTAAATAACAGGTTTTAAGGGACGATTATTGGACAGATACATTCAATTAGCAATAAATAATTGATTATGCAAACATTCAAGAACCTACATCATTCAATTCTAGCCGAAATCACGCGGCGCTCCCAGGATTCGAACTCACGACCCTCGGATCCGTAGCCCGATACGCTACCGACTGCGCTACCGAGGACCGCGCGCCGACGATCGGAGAGGCGGATCGCGGGTGCTGGCGTGCAGAGAAATCTTTACCCTGTACGCCGTAGAAGATCGGCTGGGTTTCGTGAAAAATGGTAGAGGAATTGTCGAAAGAAAATTCATCGATCTATCATTTGAGACTAAGAACCATTGATTCCTTCAAAGGTTGACCGAGATATCGCTCGCCGAAAACAGGCCATTTATCATGTAAACCCTATGGGCTGGTAGGAAATGTACGCCGTGGAGCAGCAGTGCTACCAACTAACTTCGGCGGGGGCCGAAAAAAAGCCTATGCGATGCGAGTATAATATTTTGGAGGGCTAAAAATAGCCCCCACAGCGCGGGTTAAAGGAAAAGGGCCACCTTCGTGAAACATGAAGATATCGTTGTTTTTCATTTTGACATTATTATTTTTCATTTTCTTTTTAAAACTGGTGCCAGAAGTGCACAATTCGCGAAAAAGTATTAAAAACTATTTAACATATTGGTACTATCGTAGAAGAATAACCTTATGCTCACTATCTTTAAACAATCCAAAAATTAGCCTAAAATCAATGCATATATTTCGGAAACGTTCCTTCTTCAGTTCAAAAAGTTAACTTTACCTGGTAAAGTTAACTTTTTGAACTGAAGAAGGAACGTTTCCGAAATATATGCATTGATTTTAGGCTAATTTTTGGATTGTTTAAAGATAGTGAGCATAAGGTTATTCTTCTACGATATTCAATAATGCTGCTCATTTTAGTACTTCGCCATCTTATTACATATTGGTACTATGTTGATACTCTCTACGGCACCTACTGTATGATGGCATAGCGATGACGTCACACTCAAGCCAATCAGCGTTCAGAAGACAGACTCGTCGGATTGTGTCAGATAAGCTGATTGGTTAAAGCTGAGCTGGTTGGAGCTGATTGGTAAAAAACCAAAGCCTCGCCGCGGGTGGCTGACGGCTGTATTGTCGGATAAGAACGCATTCCTGGGATGTATTTTCTTTTAAAATTGCCGATAACTACGAATGGAGGCCAAAATCGGCCGTAAAGAGATTGACAGACAGGTTTTCGGACACGGGCTACAAGATGGCTATCTCAGTTTCAATCCCCATGTTAAAGGTGGCCCTTTTCCTTTAACCCTATTAGTGGCAGGGGGGGTTGTTTCCCTCAGGTTTTTCGGGAATATCTCCGAAACCGCTAAAGCTACGATGCTGAAATTTTCAGACTTTTCCTAAAACTAAATTGGGCACATTCCCTGAAAATTTCAAGTTCATAACTTTACCAGGGGCGGCTCCAGAGCACTGGGAATTGGGGGGTCCTATTCGTGAAGCGAGTCATTTGGGCGAAGATCACGATGCTGCACCAGTTTTACGAACAGTGAATGAAAGGTATCATGTGATAACATATACAAAGTTATTGTGCATCCTCTTTTGACACGTTTTTGCTATAATAGGCGGATCCAGGCGTCCAAAAAGGGGGGTTATTTTTTACCTCCCAACATAGGTGCCCTGACACCGCCTATGCATGACCAATACAATTTTAGTCGTTCTCTCATAAGAAAATTGTAACATAACAAGACTATTGCCACCCTTTTTAGAAACAGTACCAACAAAAACCTTATTTACTATACTTTTTTGTGTACCCCCAATCTCAATGATCTGTATCCGCCTATGATTTTTGAAAATGCATATTTTTAGGATCCATGTGAATTCCTGGTTCATTCTCTATCGATCGGCAAAAGTTGCGTTAAGATTGGTTCAGAAATCTGGCCGTGATAAACAGTCTAAAATGTGTCTGCAATTTGCCCGTTTTTACCCCCCTCTACCCCCCTATTGACATTTTCCTAATTTTTATTTTTTAGAAATGTAGATCACGTTGAGCGAAATCGAATGCCGTTTGAATTTTGAAAATCGGCCCGTTAGATCTCGAGATATCGAGGGGGGGGGGGGGTCGTAAACAGCCCCCCCCCCGCCACATAATAGGGGTAGCCAGGAGCCTGCCACTAATAGGGTTAAAATTTAAATACTCCCGACCTATATACGTGGCCACATGCTGATGGACAGCACCATAAAGGTACGCATGAACATCTCTAATTGACCCGGCACTTCAATATTATCATATGAGTAACGAATCGATCGAGTGCTACTAATAACATGACAAGTTGCTGAAAAAACTCTTTCTTGTCAGCTTCATACTGCATTATGAAGCCAAGAAGCCCAGTTCAAAACCAGGCTGCATCTGAGTGTAGTGTTGTTGTTTTCTGGCTTACACAAAAAGTCGTATTTTTCTGTCGCTCTCAGCAGGCAGCCTGATGCATATCACTACCTGTTTTTGGCTGATCGAAACTCGCCAGGCGAGCCAGAACGGGTTGACGCCGAACGACCGGCTGGCATTAGTAGCAGTGCACACTGCAGTCTGCACGTGCTAAGCACACTGCACGTGCTAAGCTTCGAACCGGTTTCGTGCAAGACAAGGCGCCTGCCTATAGTGCTGTCCGGCATTCCTGAGTAGCAGAATAAATAGGCATCCACGCTCTGAGGACATTTAGAATATACCTAATTCTATTTTGAATAGATTAAACAATCGGGCCCAGATACAGGATTCTGTGGTGGCCCGTAAGCAGAAATACCTACCCACCTAGATTAAACAATGCCAGATGTTTCATGTACCTACATATAACGTGGGCATAGACATAAACATAGACATAGACATCGGCCTATTTCAAACAGAATCCGCAATCAGCAGGGTTTTATCGGCATAATTCGCATTTGTAAAAAGTGAGATGGTGATGTGAACACAAATATATACGATTACATACATATATACATACACTCTACACTCATGCTAAATGTAGGTAAACACATACACACATATTTAGATGCGCATGACTTGTGTAAATGAGCTGCACTCAGGGCGTATAGGAGCTGCATTGAAAGTGCGACCCTCTCAATGCATGTTTTGCCTCATCGTGTTGTATGTATAACTTGAGGCCGCTGTGTACCAGCATTCCGCTACCGGTTTCGGTTCTGATCGACTGAGGTCGGAGCATGTCACGGCCTATCTGGTGTTCTATGATCGTGTTGGTGGTCATGCCAGCTGCAATGATCTCATGAAGTGTTTCTGGAAGGCCTGTTTTTATGACTTTGCTAACCAAGTTGACGCGGTAATGTCGACAGTTTAAGCTGGGCCAAAACTACCCCCGAGAAACTCCTCCTGGAGATGCCTCTGCGCAAGCTATAAACTCAAAAATTTGACACAATGTGCCCAATGAATGGCAAGGAAAAGTCAATAAATTTTGAGTTCATAGCAAGTCGTTTTCCGTCAAGAGCAAAAACAAAACTGCAGGTGGGGGCCGATTCGCCCCCCCCCCCCAGCAAAACCCTCACCCTTTCATGGGGTCGGGTAGATTACTTACGCGTACTGCTGTGCCGTTTAATACAATTTGTTCACGAATAAAGGGCTTTTGTTTCATTCTCGAAAGTCGAAAAGCCGGAAATTTTCGTCAATTTCAGACGCAGCGGGGGATATTTACCTCAAATGTCAACCTGTCGGCCTGGATGCACCAGTAGGGTCAGGTGGCCTATAGGCCACCATTTTTTTTTAAAGAAATGGTATGCCGTTTTTTCAAAAAAAAAATCATGGCATCAGGGCTGTGACGAAAAATAAGTGGCCTAAATCCGATGAGAAAACTGGGTTTAGGGGTATCCTAGGTTTGGCTTCTGAGCCTCTGCCCCCCCCCCCCCACCAGTAAAAATTCCTTAGAAGAGGCCCCATGCAGCTTGGGCGGCATATAACGGTGCATTTTCTGGGAGAGAGGCCTCTAGCGCCTAGCGGTCACTTCAGACACTTAGCGATTATTCACATGAAGCCTCAGTTAGTAAGAGGGACCCCAGCTGTCAGGCTGGTCAGAAGGTCCTGATTGTCCTTACATGATTTTTGGGAAATTCCCGTGAATTTCGTTGGCGCCTCAAACGTAATTTTGGCCAATGTGGGCCTTCGGCCCGCGGGGGCCCTGATTCCATCCGGGGGCCCTGAAAACCCCAAGGGGTTGCACCCCGTCCGCCCTCCCCTCCCTTGGGTACTCCCCTGATTATGGCCATAGGCGGCGGAACGGGGAGGGCACCGGGGTACCGTGCCCAACTGCCCCCCTTTGATTTATGCCCTATGGGCGTTGCATGGAAAGAATGGGACCAAAAGTCGGCAGGGGGCTGCCCCCCCCTAATTGAAGGTGTTCCGCCGCTACTGATTATGGCCAGACTCAATTTGAATTGGTTATGTAACGTTGCGTCTGCTCCATGCATGGATGCGCCTCGCGGGCATGTAAGTACAATAAAGTAGCTACTCTACCAATAGTGTGTTTTGTTTTTTCTTCGTTGGCTGTTGAACATTGTAACTTCAAAAAGGAAATGTTTTGTTCAAGTTTTTTTTTAAATTATGTTTTCCAAGAAAAAATAAGTGAAAGGAGTTTTTTCTCCAAACGTACAGCCGAATCATTCACAAAAATTGGAGATAAAATCACCACTATCATTCTCTTTCGCTCTGAAGGTCGCCAAAATTGTGGTGTACGGTCTTCGTCTCTAATTACCCTCATCAAGGTTTGTGTGACCATTATTTTATTTCTATAGAATATTGGTGGTTGATTTCTTATCGTATTTGTGTTATTTTTCGGTGAGGGGGCAGTGAATGTCGCGTGTTAAATGAGATGTTGCATATGAGACGATTATGGTGTGCTGCGGCAATCCTTATCCACTATGGCTGACTGTATGTCTCAGGCCGCATATTTTTTTCGTACTTAGGTGTACACAGTTTATTCAAAGAAAAAATTGAGTGCAAGGATCTCACCATTTACACTAAATAGGTTACTGTAATAGGTGCATAGTTCAAGTTATAATGAAAATGCTAGCTCCTCGCACTCTCTGTGCATGTGGGGAGGCTAGGACCGGTAGGCCATTTTCCAAATGTGTCTCTTGATACTGTACTTTGTGGTGGGTGTCCATTATAATGTCTATTCAGGCATCATCTGTCCAGTTGTTGCCGAATCATTATGGGCCGATGGTAAAAACAGCACCTGAGGGGATTTGATCTAAGCTTGTGAAATGTGTGTGCCGAAAACACGTGGCAATTAGCTTGTTAAAGGCAATGGGAGGAAGAAAACATTTAGTAGTCATGTGACTTAATAGTTAATATGCTCTCTAGCACCCTGTTTTCACCATCCACCTAATTTTGACCCCTCTTATTAGATGTATGCCGTGGTTGTTGCCCTATCTGACAGGGACTTGTTCTAGTGCCTCCAGAAGGATCAGTAAGAAAAATGATGATAATTCACTCTTAATGAAACAAAATTTGGTTTCAATTTTTCTAAGTAAGATTTACATTATACTTAACTGATTTTCTTTGCATTTGAATTAGGTATACATAAAATTAACAGTCAAAAGTCCATTCTTAAAGTTTTTAATTGTAACATGTGTGGAGACCAGAGCCTTTGGTCAAATGTGGACCTCACAACTGACTGGAGCTTGCTGGAGGTTTCTGGAGTCAAGCAAAGAGCTTTCTGGTGCTTACTGGAGGTGCTGGATTGCTGGCTGGAGGATTCTGGAGCTTTTTGGAGCTGTCTTGTATTTTCTGGAGGCACTGGAACATGTCCATAGATGACTGCTAAGCAATTGGGAGCACAATGTTTACTGAGTATTAACCTCTCAAAAGCATGACACTGGCTACAGCTGGCACACTGGTACTAATTAATTTTGATATTTATCTACTTATAATGAAGTTCCTGCAAAAGTTATTATGATCATTCTTTTGAAAACTTTGTATTTGTATGGGTAGTTATAAATGAGCTCTGGTCCATGCTTTGCTAGCACTGCTTGTTCATTGCTTTATTCTAAAGGACCTTTTCTGTGAATGACCAACTGCATTTAGCTAGGTTCTCATGTGGAGATCCATGCTTCCCTAATAAGCATGTTTCCTCTGCTATCAAAATTGAGCATTTGAGCATAATCATGTTGAACATGTTGATTACGGAGCGAGCGAAGCGAGCGTAGTCTTTCCTTAGATTAACGGAAATTTCTGAGTATGAGCGGCCGGCCGTGGTCACGCTTTTGCGAGGCTTATATCTCAGCAACCACTTGACCGATTTACATGCGGTAAATTTTGTAGGGTAGCTTCATTCCTTCTACCAAGTATTGGACTATTCCCGATGCATGTGGGTGACCCCTTATGCACGTGCCACGTGCAAAACGAAGAGGTGTCAGTTTTGTAATTGTTGCAATATCTCGGTAACTACTTGGCCGAATGCGCTGAAAGTTGGCATGTAGGTAGGCACCCACTAGGCACTGCATATCCATGTGCCAGAGTTGGGGTGCTGCTGCACGTGCGCACGTGCAGGGGTCGTTTCCAGATCTCGAGAACGGCTCGACCGATTGCGCTCAAATTTGGTACACAGTTAGAGACCGGTTAGTAGGGTGCCGTACACAAGTCAGTTGGGACCCATTTTGCACGTGCGCACGTGCAGGGTGCCGCTTCCAGATCTCGAGAACGGCTGGGCCGATTGTGCCCAAATTTGGCACATCGCTAGAGACCGGTTAGTAGGGTGCCGTGCACAAGTCAGTTGGAGGTACCCCCTCGCAATTTCGCACGTGCAAGGCCCACCCTCTCGCTCGCTCCGTTAGTCGCCCCAAAAGGCGTTATACTGGTGTAAGATGTTGAACCCTCATTTCATTACTTTGACAACATAAAAATGCCTAAGAGATTCTGTACCCATGATTTTTACCCATGTTCATTCTAGTGTTTGGTCTAGGGCCATGTTGAGGGTCAAAGTACAAGAGCTGTGTCATGCTGGTAGTGGCTTGTTCAAAATAATCAATATAAAGTTTGCTCGCCTCATAGATGCTGGTTCTTCAAAACCTTGTGCTTTATTGAGAGGCATTGGATTTATCATGGATGGCTCATTCATTAATTTATCATCATCTAGCATGAGTAATAAGATACACTAATTGCACTAATTGCTCAGTTAAGAATGGTCAGACTCAGGCTCTTCTTTATTTGTCTGTATAAGGTACTCCAGCTATATTCATAGAAGAAAAACATGACAATTATATGTAGAGGAAGCACAAAATGTGTTTTAGTCTTGGTCTGCTCGACTTTATAAAGATTTTTGTTTTGTTTGCTGATGTCATTTGATGAAAGCAATATCTATCACTTGATTAGAAATAGGGTGCTTGTTATCATTTCAGCATATATTTCACATATATATGGTCATTAGCATCATGGTATTGAAAGCCTCATAAAATGATATAGATGTCATAAATGTCAACTCCTGACACCTCTGTGGTGTTTACACTCATATCTGCTGTTGGCAGTGGGTGGACCTGACTGTTTGTGTCCTCTCTGTGTGCAGATGTCCCTGACTGGATCGCTGGTTCGGCTGGTGCCGGCGGCGGCTCGCGCCCAGGCCCGCTCGTACGTGGTGTCGGGACCGCCGCGCGTGCGCATGTCGCGCGCCGAGAAGTTCGCGCACGGCGTGGTGCTGTTCGGTGGCGTGATGGCCGTGCCCGCCTGGATCCTCGTTCACATCAAGGACTACCGGGGAGCGCTCGACGAATAGGCGAGACACACGGGTGGGTGACGACACCGGGCAGCGGGAGGCACGGGTTCAGGTGTGCTGGCTCTAGATTTGATAAACCATTGCAGAGACATTGTGTCGTGGACCTCATTCATTTTGCTTGCATGTGGTTTAGATAATACCTATACCTAGCTATTTATTTATATCTGGGAAAAGCATTCGTATCTCTACACACTCGTAAAATGGCCACAATATTTCCGATGAGTGTTGAAATTTAGGACGTTTCATTTTAAACAACATAACACATTCCTTGAATTATTGAATGAGCAGAAATGTCTTCCCTGATAGGTCTCCAGAAAGCTAAGAAACTACATAGTTATGTAGAATGTTTTTAACGTTTGTTTCTCCCATTTTCAGGTAATTTAAGAAGACTGTACGATTTGTGCGCCGGGTGCAAGAATGCTGTGGCTATAACCATGTATCATCCGTGGGATGTCCAAACGGAATAATTGTGACGTCTCAATACACCACAAACAGAGAGGCTGTATTTGTCTTAGTTGGCAGACATGGAAACAAGCCACTTGGTTTAGTCATGCTGACATTTAGATGGTTTGGTTTTTGTAGCGCCGACATTGGATGATATCTGGTGAGTACCCGGAGTATGGCTGTTGCCTATTATATTTATTTATCGAGGACGTAGATGGTGAAACACTAATTAACAAAGCGTGGGGAGTTTTCAAGGAGCGTAGCCGGTTGGTTAGAGAGCAGATCATGCGACTTGATCGAAGTTTTGATCAGTTTGATCGAAAGACAGGTGATGGTCATGTTCATGACTCAGATCATAGATCCATGTTCTTGGTTTATCGTCAGATTGATCCTGTGAGATCATAGATCCAGGATAAATTTTTCACTCCGGATTCGGTGGGATCATAGATCCGAACCTGCAATTTGCCTCGAGATCCACTGAGCTCATAGATCCATCACTCGGATCCATGCACATGTCTGCATCCTACCACGTTTGCACATAATTTTATACGTTGGTTTATCCTTTTTCACTCCTCTTGAACCTTCGCAGACCATTAACTTTCCGTGTCTCATCTATTGTTAGGTGATGAAAAATTCCTCTGACAACCAAGACAAGACACTATGTACTGGAAGAACCCAACAATAAATAGTTTTCGTCTGCCTTCGGTTCACTCTACCGGTATGGATCTCTGCCGAAAAGGTCACCTAACTAGAGTAGAAGATGGCTTCTCCGATGACCTGAACAATGGCATGATCCATGTCGTGACCAATATGTTGTCAATGACATATTAGCTGCAAATGATGCATTGTGCTTGTGTTAATAGCTTGTGACGTAAATTCAACGAAGCGGTGTATAAGTCACGTTGAATACTGTAAAAGCGATATTGATACCATTCAGGTGGCAAAAAAGATGTATTATTTGTCCCTCGGTCTGTCCATACCGGCTGTGTCGCCCGTGTCTCGCGGCCGCCGCGGGGTTCCCGGCACACATTCACCGGGTCGGCTGCGTGCCGGCCGCCCGTTCTCAGGGAAAACAACGGGGTGCTCATCACGGCCACTGCAGCGGCGCCGCTAAGGGCTGCCGAGCATCGGCAATCAATGGGCGGGACAGCCGGGGGCGTTCCCACGGCGTTACCGGCCCGTCACGCCCCGGGCCGGGTCAGAGCCGCCGGCCCGTGACGGTGGTGTGAGCGGGATACCGCCGGCACACTACCCCTTTCGGCGGCGACCAGTGCCGAGATATTCCCGTTCCTTCGCATTACTGACGTCCTTGATTTTCATTACAACTGATGCAATACATCTTACAAACCCCGCGCCCTAATTGCTATCTCGAATGTTCCACATTTCAGGTATTGGAGCCCTAAAATGAAGATGTAAAGTTTTTGACAAAGACTCCACAATTCAAGCTCCTAAAATGATGAGCAAAATTGTTAAGATGTCATTTAAACTCCTCATGTCAATCAGTGCTTGAATTTCAGCTCGCAAGCTGAATACTACTGAGTTCCCGGACGAATAATGAAATCCGCCGGAATCAATACGGAATCAATATCTGTTTTTGCCCGACCGATTTTATTTTTATGACAATTTGGAGTTTGAGCTGCTCTTGAGGATGAGGCTAATGACCTACTGAACGGCCTGCCAAACAATAATACGATTATACCTACTAGCAGTGGCGTATCCAAGGGGGGACCCTGGGGGTCCTAGGATCCCCCCTGGAGCAAAAAAAAAAATATTTTTTTTTACTCGAAAAAAAAATTGAAAACACTGAGGGCCCTTTTCACCACTTACATTTTTTTTACATAATGAAAAGTAACAATTACATTTTTAGGGACCCTTTTAGGACTATCAGAGGATCCCTTTAGGCCAACGAGGGACCTTGTAGAGTAAATTAAGGGCCCTTTACAACAAACAGGACCTTCTCAGGCACACAGAGGACCCTCTCAGACACACAGAGGGCCCTCTCAGGCACTCAAAGGGCCCTCTCAGGCACTCAGAGGGCCCTCTCATGCTTTCAGAGGGCTCTCTCAGGCACTCAGAGGGCCCTCTCAGGTACTCAGAGGGCCCTCTCAGGCTCTCAGAGGGCCCTCTCAAGCACTCAGAGGGCCCTCTCAGGCCCGAGGGCCCTCTCAGACATCTCGAGAGGTCGAAAAGAGCCCTCTGAGCTCAAAGAGGGCCCTCTGAGATAAAAAAGGCCCTCGGAGGCAACAGAGGGCCCTACAATGCAACAATAGAGCCCCCTGTGGTCACCAAAGGGCACTCTGAGGCGAATAGGGGGTCGTTTTAGGCAAACAGAGGGCCCTTTGAGGCAAACAGAGAGCCCTCTGAAGGGGCGAATAAAGGGACCCTCTGAGACGAACGGGGGCCAAAGCCCAGAGGGCCCTCTCAGGCACTCAGATGGCTCTCTCAGACACTCAGAGGGCCCTCTCAGGCACTCAGAGGGCCCTCTCAAGCACTCAGAGGGCCCTCTCAGGCACTCAGAGGGCCCTCTCAGACACTCAGCGGGCCCTCTCAGGCACTCAGAGGGCCCTCTCAGGCACTCAGAGGGCCCTCTCAGGCACTCAGAGGGTCCTCTCAAGCACTTAGAGGGCCCTCTCAGGCCCCAAGGGCCCTCTCAGACATCTCGAATAGGTCGAAAAGAGCCCTCTGAGGTCAAAAAGGGTCAATTTCAGGCCACAAGGTACCCTATGAGGCCACCAGACGGCCCTCTTAGATCAAAGATGGTCCCTGGAGGTCACCAGAGGCCCCTCTGAGGTGAACAAAGGGCTCTCACAGCCACCTCAAAGAGGGCCCTCTGAGATCGAAGAGATCAAAGAGATCAAAGAGGGCCCTCTAAGGCGAATGGAGGGCCTTCAAAGGCCACAAAGTGCCCTCTCAGGCCACTGGAGGGCCTTCTGAGGTGATATGATGCTATGTCAGACCACCATGAGCCCTATGAGGTCATCAGGCCCTCTGAGATCAAAGAGGGTCCTTGGAAGTCATCGGAGGACCCCTTGAGGCCCCTTGAGGCGAACAAAGGCCAGAGGGCCCCCTTAGACACCACAAAGAAGTAAAAAAGATCCCTCTGAGTTCAAAGACAGCTCTCTGAGATGTAATAGGGCCCTTTGAGGCCTCTGAGGGCCCTCTGATGCCACAGAGAGGCGCCCGCTGATACCAAAATAGAGTCCTCTGAAGTCTGAAGCCACCAGAGGGCCCTCTGAGGCGAATAGCGGGTCCTCACATCAACTTCAAAGAGGGCCCTCTGAAAATCAACTGGCCCTCGGAGTCAGTGTCCCAAAATTGTATTTTGGCTTGGGTGTCAGAGGGGGAAATAGGTCACCCAAAAGGGGGATAAGAGTGGACAATTGTCAGTCACAGGGCAGCCGGAGCCCTCTGAGAAGGTCACTTGAGCCTTACACCAGAGGGCCCTCTGAGGTGATATGAAGGCTATGTCAGGCCACTATGGGCTCTATGAGGTCAGCAGGCACTCTGAGGTAAAGACTGGCCCTCTGAGGGGAACAGAGGGCCCTATAGGACAATCAGAGGACTTTTTAGGCCAACTAGGGGCCTTAAGAGGTCAACAAAGGGCCCTTTGGGACACAAACAGGGCCTCTCAGGCCACCAGGGGCCTCATGTATTAGACAAACATACGGCCATCTGAAGTAAAAGAGGACCTTTTGAGGTAAACAAGGGCCCCTGGAGAGAAAACAAAGGGCCCTTTCAGGTACCCAGAAGGTCCATGGAGGCCACTAGAGTGCCCTTTGAGGCCAGTGATGGTCTGCAGAGGCCCTCTGAGGGTAACAGCGACCAGAGGCCCCCCTTGAAAATGCAGGTGTCACAAGGCCCGGTTTGCATCAAAGGTCAGGTAGCTATGCCCAGTTTCGGCTCTCTGTTGCCGACGTGTTCCGAGCTGTCGCAAAAAAAAAAAACGATGTGGTGGCACCCACCCTCCCACTCGGCCGGCCAGGGTCCTTCTAACCAGGGAGACACCGGTTGGTCACGTGACTCGGAAACAAAAATCAGCTGATAGAGTGGCGGAATCACCGTAATCAAACACGAATAATTCCGGACGATAGAGCGGCAGGATAGGAGTTTTCTTTACAACAGGTAATCATTGCAATGTATTATCATTCTATGACCAAGAAACGTTCATAAATCATACATTTCTTCGATGATTACTGCCGCAACCGACGCGCATATATTGTAGCCAGCGCATAAAGCTGTGCTTTGCGATATTATACGTAATGAAACGGCCAATACTAATAATTTGTAACAAAGCTCGAAAAAAGATGGCATTCTATCTTGCTTCAACCTTCTACTTACGCTTTTATAATAACGACAGCGACACCATACGGCCTATCCACGCTATGCAATTCTATGGCGTGTCCGGCCGCACTCTGCCGAGTGTGCCGAGATCAGAGGGGGACCATCCGCGGCAAGTCCAGCTGCACTGCCCGGTACCTGGGAGGGCGACGCCTAGCCCCGCTCTGGCCGCTCGCTTTCGCGCACAACTAAGCTACCTGGCTAGGCCTGTGGGAGGGGAGGGAGAAAACCAACAACAGTCTGATGAGCCAATGGAGTCTGTGAGCCGCGCCAATCAGCGCCCTTCCGCGCGCAGACGGGAGCTAGAGCTTTTCATCTCCTTTCCTGTTTTCGCTGGTCCGCCAGTCACCAGCATCGTTCCGTGCTCTCCATCTTGGCCGATTCGGCCGTGTGCGTCAGCAACAACAGTGAGAGAGAGAGGGGGAGAGGGAGAGGGAGAGGAAGAGAGAGAGGAGATAGAGAGAGAGAGAGAGAGAGAGAGAGAGAGAGAGAGAGAGAGAGAGAGAGAGAGAGAGAGAGAGAGAGAGAGAGAGAGAGAGAGAGAGAGAGAGAGAGAGAGAGAGAGAGAGTCTCGGATCACGCCAGGCAGCCACATGGGTATCTATTGTTTATTTATTTTCCAGTGATCGCAAGCGTTTTTGTTTGGAACCGGGTGTGATCAGTATTTGACGCATTTCTGTGATCTGTATGATAAAACTGAAAAATAGTGAAATATATTCACTTTAATTCACATATCGCTTTTGATTCATGGTACGGCTGCTTGATTTTGCCACAACATACATACACAGCCGATCTCGGCATGTTTCTGTTCCAGAACAGCAGCTGCAGTGGACACCAAAAATGCATTCATGTTCTGACAACTTACTCCAAAGATACAATTCAAATATTTCACGACGAACTGCTAAGTTCCAGAGAAAGTATTTTCTCGCTCACAGATGCTCAACAAGAAGCGCGCGATTGATTGCAACTAGCACGCTCACGATTTCTAATATAGCGCTGGCCCAAACCTGCCCCTTACATCCAAATATAATATCTTAATTCCAGCCTCTGTCCTATTTATTATTTATTAGCGCACCGAGAGTGAATGATACCACGGCATAGCCGTCATATTACAGAGCACAAATTGCGAGACGACGTTCGAGACCCGTATCGGCGTATTCTTCACAGATCCGGGTGTCTCGCTTTCACTCTCAATCAACCCTGCCACACCATCAACCGAGCCACATCGGCTCCGACCATCTTGATCCCCGCACTGAAATCTGATGGCCGGCCCGTCATTTCATCCTATCCGTCGGCGCGCACTACACCCGAGCTCACCCTAAAGTGCACTGTGCGGCCTTCTTCGGATGACACCTCTGAGCATGGCGCTTGCCTTGCACCTGGATGCTTAGAGCCTCTTGTTCGTGCACGGCCGTTAGCATTTCAGGAGTCGGATGGTCTCGGCGGTGGCGGCGCTGGTCACCGTGGAGCCGTCGGAAGACACCGTCAGCTCGAGCGCCCTCGACCAGTGACCTGTAAAGCAGCGAGTCGCGGCATGTCAAGACGACCGTCACGTTTCAGTCACGAAGGCCGTTATAGAAGTCACGGCGGCCGTCATATGCCAGCCGCGGCGACCATCACATAGCAGTCACGGTGACCGTCACAGGTCACGACGGTCGTCAAATACCACTACGAGCCACGGCGACCACGACGCATAGCTCATAACGTTTCCTGACGCACACTCAGCTATAATAATAGTATATAAGCCTGTACACACATTTCTCACTCGAGAAATCGAAACCCGAACCTGAGACCCATCATGCGTCACGACACTAAGTTGCAGCGGCACCTGCATTAGCAGGCATCCCATCCCGGCAACACAAAAAGTTCTCCCGAGCCACCCACCTAAGGACGCGGTGATGGGTCACAGAATTGCCATCACGTCGCTGATCTAGTGACGAAAAGGGACACAGCTGACCTGTGGACGCGTTGGTTCACACAATTAGGTACTGACCTGGAGATGATGTGATAGTCAATGTCGATACGCGCGCCGCGTGGCTGGCCATCACACTCTGCCACCTCCGGATGACGTTCTACAGCTGGATCGACACGCTGTCTCCAGAACCACCGCCAGAAACAAGCCTGATGGAGGATGATATGATCAAAACTAAAAAACCACAAAGCACACAATGAAGACGACAAAAGCGGCGGCAGGCACATAATGACGATTGACGACCTATAACTAAATCAGCTTATTCAACGTCAAAAAAGGCTGCAAATGTCTATATTTTACTAGTCAAACGCTCGTGATAGGCTGATGTGCCTAGCTAGATGTAGCTTGACTTTCCGAATGTGGCCTAACCCTCGCCCGTATGGGGGGGGGGGGGTCGAACGGACCCCTCCTCGGTTTTTCGCGGATAACTCATAACTCGCATAAAAAAGACGCCGATTGCGACGAAACTTTCAGTACCCTCCAGTTGATCAATTTTACACATGTCCTTGACATTTTATGAACCTGACCCAAATGAACTTTGACCTGTGACCTATTAAGCCCAGCTGCCGAGAGCCATGGCAGCTAGTTGGGGAAGCTACACTCCAGATAGCATATGCAAGTAGTAGCCATTCAGCAAGTCTGGTGGGAGGCACTTTCAGCAACTGTTCAGGCGTTAATTGGATGGAGAGTCTGGGGTGTGTGCGCACCAAAAAGCAGCAACTGCACACTCAGAACATTGGCAAAACCTGGGTAAAGCGAATGAGAGAGGGAGTCAGGAATCAGGCGTGCAGGGGTAGACAGCTGAAACAGGCAAGGAGAGCAGTGGAGACCTGGAGACATTATGAGGAAACATTGGTCTGGGCAGACACCCAGGTTGAGGTGAGTTGTCAAGACTCAATCACCCAGACTCAGCACTGACAGCACCATAAATGTTACCAAATGCTGTGAATAGAATAGTAAGACATTTTATAGGATTGGACCCTGGGGGAACCTCCAGGCTTCCCCCATCGGATAGTTGTCTGTCCAACCCTTAGCAGGGTGGATGTTTGGGAGAGGTGGACAAAGCCCGCGGAGGGCATGTACTTCATGATCGCTATTCGCTACACACATTGCAAGACTTTTTTAATGATATAATAACTCAAACTTATCCATGTAACTTGTCAATTACAGGAATTTGTGGGCTTTTATTCATTCTCAGAGCATCATCTTTTCTGGTGAGTTACTTGAAACACGCATTGCTGCAAGCTCCAAAAGCACAACTCGAAATGGCCAACCACAGCAGGGTCTCAACCTGAAGATGCTTACCAAAGTAGATGCTTACCAAAGTAGAAAGGAAAGAGGCAAAGGGAGCGGGTTGCTCATGGGAAGCAGGAGATTGAGACGCAGAAGAGAAGGAGAAGATCAGGATCATGGCAACAAGAGAGCAGAGGACCAAAATGAATCTGGGTGAGGGGTTTATATAGACTTGACTTCAGGTAGACTACATACTTCGTAGGATAGGTACCTACCTAATAATCCTGATGGCAAATCAATATAAAAACTATTTTGATTTGTATCTCAACTCATTTGAATATGAACTAACCACAGAAAAGAAACTTGACACAAATCCACCCCACCCGGCACAGATAAACTCACAATAAAAATACTTTTCAAAATCCGTTTCCGGTTCCGAGGCCTATCAAAAACAAATCCAACAAAAAATTCATTAAATTTGAAAATGTTTGTAGCCTTGAGCGCCTTGAGTTGAATCCAAAGCCATGCTGAATAGCTTGAAACTTAAAAGTGTTCTCAATCAGTAAAAGAAACGCCGTTAAACCAATCAAATACAAAAACTGGCGTTTGCTAGCGATAGCAGTACAGAAAACTGCGCGTAACTGCGGGTGATAATTATGGTCGGCAGTTTTCAATACCACGTTTCGTAAAGTTCCCGCGTTTATTTTGTTTAAAAACCTATACCAATAGATACAAAATTCAATTTTGTTTACTATCATGCTTGAAATAGACCCCACATCGGTCTTGTTTTCTATTAATATGCCATTAACTCTCACCGTGTGACCTTAGGCGGCAAGGAAGCCAACGCATACCAGACCAAAATAATGCATCTTTTAATTCTTAAACTGCAATAAATCATACATATTTTGGAAGAAAATTGAATTTTTATTTTAATAAGGGGTCTTTGTGAGCCCAATAATGACTAGTTCGCCATCTAGCTATGTTTTCGTCCAGAACTGTTTTGTATTCAAAATTCGAAGTTTTAGAATTAGACGTAAATCTTTTAAAGTTCCCGCGTTTCTTACGTTTTGACATTTTAATATGTTATAATGTAAGCGATTTTGTTAATTTTAGTGAAATATTTAGACCCCACATCGATCTAGTTTTTGAGAATCATTACATATAGTGGAACAGGGTGACCATGGACAGCAATGGTGGTTATGCATTGAATATCAACTAAACACAGTTTCCAACCTTTAAAAGGCAACAAAAGGCACAGAATCTGATAGATAATTCAATTTTGATATTTTTTGACCATGTTGTAAGCCCCACATCACTGAAGTTACTCGACAATTCATGGTAGAGCATTGGCAGGTCCGGTAGGCTGAACAGCTCAGAACCATGGTAATTTCGAAATTCAACAAAAGGGAGTTGGCCTTTGATATTACTTTTTGTCCTTCAATTTTAAATTTTGATTGTGAAAAATTAATTTTGTCCATGAACAATCCTTGCAACTTAAGATATATAATTTTTGAAATGGCGGATATACCCAACAATTTATTTTCGTTAATGCTTCACAGATTCATACATGGCGTGGTCTCTGATCATAAATCAAAAATATATATACAAATAATAAAACTCATTGAAATTTGTTACTTAGTTCTCTTTTTTAGACTTAAAGGGTCAGCTGAAAATAGTGGTCAAAATACCTTAGTGTTGTAATTTCGAACCGGTTTTACCTAGTACTCTATATACCGTGCTTCTAAAACGCAGTTCACACATGACCGTCAGTCTGTCGGTGTCGGGCCCGTCGCCGTCGACCTGACGGCCTGCAGCCCGTCAAACGAAAGTTGATATTTGGTAGCTCCCATTGGCTGCCATATGTTGTGACAGAAATGGCGCACCATTTTCGAGAACGACGCAGATGGGGAAGGGGATGGGATGGGATGGGGGATGGTAGAGGCCGAGAAGTTAAAAATATTCTTTGAATTACAGAAATAAAAGCCCACGCTTTTACATTTTTATGTCAAATAATGCAACAATTTTATTTTAATGAAAGATACATCGGTTCGCTGACTTAAATCAGGGAGCGAATCTCAAGATATCGTGCCGTAATAAACATTTTCATCTCAACAAATGGATAGAAAATGATTTAAATTATCTTAAAAATGCATTTAAGCTCCATGCTGCATGATAACGTTCCTTTTCCTCTTCCTCCAACACGCAGACATTCAAACCGACGGGCCCGTCACCGTCAAAAGTTGAACATTGCTGAACTTTCCAAAGCGACGGCCGTCAGGTCCGGCGCCGGCGCAGTCAGCTGTTGCCGGCCGTCAAACGCTGCCGGTTCACACATGCCCGTCGACCTGACGGCCGTCGCTCCGTCAGTTTCGGCCGTTTTGACGGTGTCGGGCCCGTCACCGGCAGACCTTACGGGCAAGTGTGAACTGCGTTTAACCAGGGATGCGGAGCCGTGGAAATTTCAGACGTCTCCGGCTCCACACTGAAAAAAACTTACACCTAGAGAGTTATTTTTGGAGTTTTTCCACTCCAGTTTGGCGAATAATCACGCACCAATGGCATATAATGATTATGTTTTGTAGCGTATTCTTACTCTCTGCATTGCATTAAGGGCGTTTTTGAAAGTTATTCTTAAACCTGGTACTATAATCATCTCTTTTGTGTTTTAGCAAGTGCTAATTTTATCTTCTAATTTTATCACGTGTCCTTTTTATTCTTTCGGGTTATAAATTCATATCAGTCTCAAAGATGCATGGGGTAATTTTAGCTTATTTCACAGTGATAAACAAGGTCATTGGAATATATTTGTGCTGAACTCCCATTAGATGGTAATAAAATTGACAGCTAGAGTACTTTTATCAAAACTGCATAAAAATAAACCGCCGTGGAGTAATTAGGGTAATTTTTATACTCCATTACGGCTGATAAATTGACACGACAGAATAAAACTATTCTCATGTAGGTGTGAAAATTACTTCATTCGTGATATAACTATCATGTCCGGACAATAATTTTATAACCATGGAGTAATATTATGTGGTAGCATTACTAACATTATTCTTCGGGAGTATTCGGGAGCGTATTTCAAGCAATACTGTATCACTTTCTTGATAATCCTATTCCGTTGTGACGTAACTAATCTAAAAGTGATTAATCTATTCGTCCAGCACAGTATTATTCCAAGAATAATATTTTCGGAATGTCTCTGCAGTTCGCGACCATTCGCGACCGCCATTGTGCTCAAGTCGTCAGAACCAAGGCCTTCTGTCAGAGAACCGAGCAAGCGTCCCAGGCCTCGAAGGTAAGCTGAAATTACTGTATACTTTGTGTTTTGTTAGTATGACCTTACAGTAATCCGTAGTATGACCATACAATCCAAGAAATGCGTTAACGTAGATTTGCGGACGAAGATTTCCACGATGATGAAATTCTTGAAGACAAATTGTCACCCATGACATGCTCAAGGCCATTGAAACCATGGGGGAAACAGCCATGTCAATTACCCTGATTTAGTTCAAGTTGTGATCAAGATTGTTATGTAGAGCTAATAAGTTATAGATTTTGTGATATTTTTTAAACCATGCAACTCACAGTGTAAGTAACAATATAAGCATCTCACTCAGGGACACTGTATGAAAATGCTCCAAATACCTAGGTATGGAAGTGGCGGCTCTAGGTGCTGAAAAATAGGTAGGCAATCACGCCAGCAGGGAGGAACTCGTCCAACATGTTAAGTGCAGGTTCTCTTACCTGGTTGGGCTCCCTTGTCTGCTATCAGGAAAAGGTAGGCATGAGGAAGTTGGGAACCCTAACACAAGACGCACCAACGACAATTTATACAATACAATCAATACATTCAGTTAACAGTGTAGTTGGACTAGCGCATCTTTCAGTCGCAGTAACTTACCTGACCTGACCTTCGACAATGATATAATGTTCACTTGATGTTGCTGGATGTTAAGTCTATTCATTAATGTGATTTTGCGATGTTTCCAGGTGTGGACTGACTTGGGAATGATCATGGGGCTCGAGGAGGACGTGAAGGAGCATGTGCTGCACAAAATCAGACATACCGCGAAGAAGTATGCCCAGACGATGATAAACGTGGAGCCGGCCGACAAAGACGGTGAGTTTTGAGCGGGCACAAGCACACCTTTTCGGATGAGGTGTTCCGCTAGCAACACATCGTGCCGGGGGGGGGGGGATACTCTTTTTCTATATAACTGGGCTCGAGCAGATCATCGTAGACAATATATTCCTGGCCAGGGCTGGAATAATGTTTAGATCTGACTGATTTTTTTAGCGAATGTAAAGTTAGGCCCGAGGTATTTTCGATAAATACGAGGTCAGGCCAAAACATTAGCCAAGACCAAGTGAAGGAAGGTATTTCCCACGCATGCTTCTTCCTGCACGATGGAGAAATGACGTTTCACATATCCCAATGGCGTAATACATTAATAGCAGAGGGCAGGACACCTGTTTATTTTCTTGATGATTTTTTTTTTTGCTTAACCCTCGCCGGACCTATTGGTTTTCTACATACGCGCCGGCCGAGGGGGGGGGGGGGCGGGTACGACCCCCCCCCCCTCGCCGTTTCGCCCCTGGTGGAGCTAGCGCGTCGCGGAAAAAACGAGCGTGTGCGCCGTTACGAGACGCAGAGATTGGTACCCGATTTTAAGGTCCTAGGTCAACCGGTGACCTCTGAGGTCAGGTCAAGTGCCCCAAGGTACGGTTCAGTTTTTGGTGAATAACTTCGCAAAAAACGGCCGCAGAGCGCCGATTTTGGCAGCATCGTGTTCGCCTCGCTCAGGCGCGTCGAATGATATACTTTTTGTCCGGGTCAGGTCAACTTGGGGTGTTGACCTCAGGTCAAGGTCAGGTCAGCACCCCCAGGTCACGAAGTTGGTCGAAAGAGGTCATGTCGCATATCATTCGATTCGGCAGGCCTTCCTGAGTCCATTGGTGCCTTCCCCGACTCGCTAGCTCAATTTGATCAAGAGTTATTGACGAAAAACTAATTTGACCTTGATGACGTCATAAATGACGTCACGCAAGGTCAACATTGCAAAAGTGACGCATCTAACCTTGCAAGGAGTGCATCAAATCACGATTCTGTGTGCTTGAGATAGTTGGAGATCGTTCCCGGCGCCAGAATAGCAGTTTTCATTTTTCCCCATTGACTTATAATGGTGAGGTCACGAAAATGACCTGACCTCATATGACCTTTAGGAAAAATCCGAGATATACGAGTTGTGAGACTCATAATGGATACTAGATCCTGCAAGTTTCATTTCCTTGTGACATCTCCTCTGGCAGTGAGGGCGTTGCGAAGTTGCGACATCTGAAGACCGTGCAGAGGTTCACTTATGACGTCATAGGTCAGTGACCTGACCTGACCCAAAAATGCGGTTGGTGTCAAAAGATGCGGCTTGGATCAAAGGTCAGGTATGCCAAGTTTCAGCTCTCTATCGCCAGCGTGTTCGGAGCTATCGCGAAAAAACCCTATGGGGGGGGGGGGCGGCACCCGCCCCCCCCCCCCCCTCGGCCGGCGAGGGTTAAAGGAAGACTGCCACCTTTTTTACACAAAACGGTTTTCACTAGACCTAACCCACCTATGACCTACCCTGAAGTCTGTTTCCCGAAATTCGGCCTAGTTTTCAAGATATCCGCAATTGGACTTCAGATTAAAGCCATCACAAATGTGTGGAATATGGGAATGTAACATTACCATGTTAAAATCCCATCTCCCACACTTTGTGTGATGGCATCAATGTGAAGTTCGAATGCGGATATCTCGAAAACTAGGACGAATTTCGGGAAACGGACTTCAGGGTAGGTCATAGGTGGGTCAGGTCTACTGAAAACCGTTTTAAACCGAAAACCGTAAAAAGGTGGCACTTTAACGACGGGCGGGACAACATGTTGTACCTCACCTTTGGACAGCCAATCGTCGTTGGTTTTGCTATTAGTCAAAAAGTGTTGTTTAACTCTAGTGATATTGAAAAGTCATGGTTGTCTCCATTCAGGTTGTCTCCATTCATGGTTGTCTTCATTGTCTCCAAATATACCACAGTTACATGCAGTTTGATACCTACTTGCACTCCATACTTAACCATGACAGCGGAACATCGGGTACTAATTTCTTATTTCACTGAAATATTTTAACGACGTATAATTATTTTGTAATTATGCACCACGTTTAGTTGTAAGTGTGTATCGTACTACGCAAACGTACTACGCATCGTACTACGATTTTGAGAGTGAAAAGAAATCAGGAAGAAGCGAAGAATCGTCTCCAGATACTGTAGATGGCATAGCCAGCTACTGTACGAACGCGGTTCCTTGTTTCTCTCCTAGGTTTCCTTTACGTTTATTTGTACGATATGCATTGATGCCAACTGACTGCAATATTCTTTTTCACGGCAGACGACGAGCTGCTAGCTCTACTTGCCTATGGTTGTGGAACAACCATTGGCACCTTGGCGGATCCGAGAAACGGGGTTCGTCAGGCAGGTGAGGAACTATCGGTGGACGGTGTGGTGGTCTGCCAACTGCCGGCCACCAGGTTGGAGACCGTGGCCCTAATGACGGCCGCCCACGCTGTCTTCTACACAAAGTTCACGGGGCCCTGCAGGGCCCTGTTCGAGATTCTTTATACGGAGTGTGGGATTCGATGTAAACCTAGCTGGCTTATCACAGAAGGTGTGGGAGGTTACCCAGGTAGTGTAGAACCAGCATCGGAGATGCCCACTTCGAATGACTGGCGACCTGTGGCTCACCTGTGGTTCAAGTGACTCGTGACTTGTGGCTCACCTGTGGCTCAAGTGACTCGCAACGTGTGGCTCACACTACTGGAGCCTCTGTATTATGACTAATTCAGCTGCGGCGGTCTCAGTACGCCAATGAGTCTCAGTACGTCTTTCATAGCCCAGATCACGCCCGTTTTATATGCCATCCGTGGCGGTGGTTCTGTGCGCAGATGTTATTCGTTAGCCTCAGTGTTAACCATACACGCTCGTTTTATCTGCCATCCGTGGCGGTGGTTCTGTGCGCAGATGTTATTCGTTAGCCTCAGTGTTAACCATACACGCTCGTTTTATCTGCCATCCGTGGCGGTGGTTCTGTACGCAGATGTTATTCGTTAGCCTCAGTGTTAACCATACACGCTCGTTTTATCTGCCATCCGTGGCGGTGGTTCTGTGCGCAGATGTTATTCGTTAGCCTCAGTGTTAACCATAACGCCATTGTGAGTTGTGACATTGAACGTCCTTCCAGTGATTTCGCATTGCGGCCGGCAGAGACGAAGTTTTGCCTCCCAGTTGAGACGCCGCTTCTCAACTAGGAAGCAAAATTACGTCCCTGTCGGCCGCTTAATGCGCCATCACTGGAAGTGCGTCCAAATTAAGATGTACAGCCCTCTGCAAACTGCGTGGTAGGTATTCTTTTTTCGACAAAAATGAGAATAACGCGAATACTATGCTATCGGTCATTCGGAAATCGTAACAGCGAGACGCGCTAGACTCCGCCCCTTAGATTGGCATCATCACCGTATCCATTTTTCATCTAGTTCGGCAACTAAACCCAAAAGTTTATATTTGTCCCCAAAACAAACTTTTGCATTTTGTTGCCACACAAGGCGTATACTTTGTTTATTGATAGACCTAATCGAAGGAGTGGAGCATGGCGCATCTATTTGCAGTGAGTTCCGACCGACTGATAACATAACCTTTGAGTTATTATCGGTTTTGTCGAAAAAAGAATGCCTACCACGCAGTCTGCAGAGGGCTGTACCTGCTGATGCTCAGGTACCATTCGTTAATCAATTGTTGGTGTTTCAATACATTGTTTAAATGCATTCCTTATTTTACACTTGGTCATAATATTATCACATCACCCCGCATTATCAGGGGTGGTACTTTTACACCGGGGCTTGATTTTACCGGGGAGTTACTCCGGGGTAAAATTATCGAAAAAAGGAGTGCTTTTTGGCATGGCAATATTATTCCCCGAATGGGAGTAATTTTAGTATTAAGTTAATAAAATTATCATCTGGTGTAATTTTATCCAAAGATAGCATACTTTTATCCTCCGTCATAAAATTACTCCCTAGCATGAATAATATAAGCGTTCGGATACTTAATATATTCTATATGCTAGTTTTATTCCCCAAAACTCCCCATTTTAGGCGCTTATGCCAGGTCATAAAATTATTCGATTGCAGGAGTGCTTTTTGGCATTCTAAAATTAGAAAATGGGGAGTAAGTTTTTTTCAGTGCAGCTCTGGAGAAAAAATCTGAATCAGAAGTTATTGGCGAAAAACTGTTAGATTCTGTTCGTGACCTGAGATGACCTCGGGGACATAACGAGGGGTTACAGTTGCCATTTTCCGATTCAGTGTGCCAATTTTACTTACATCTCGATGTTAGAGAGTGTCTAGAATAGCGTTCGTGCAAAACAGACGCTTTTCAATTTTCTCCCATTGACTGATAGGTAATGGAGAGGCCGCGATATTGACCTGACCTTAGGTCACCGATATCAAAATTCCGAGATAAACATTTTATAGATAATGTTGCTCTTATCAATCGCTGAAAGTTTCAAGGCAATCGATCAATCGGTGTAGCTATGACGAGCATTCCTATTTTTCTGAGGTGAGGTCACTTGGCGTGACCTGGTGACCTGACCTAAGGCGACCTGGGTCTGAAATTTCCACAACATGTGCGGAAATAATGCACAAACAGGTGTGCCAAAAACGGCGGCGCAGAGCGCCGCCGTTTTTGAGATATCAGCGAAAAACCGCAGGGGGGTGTTCAAACACCCCCCCCGGCCCGGCGCGGGTTAACATGACCCGTTTCGCCGTTTCCATCCTCAGGACATTCAAATCCTTCTCCTCCATGCCGCAACCCATGATCCAGGCTGGACCTGGACGGGCAACTTTATACCATGCGGGCGGCTCCCATTGGAGCGCACTGCAGCTCCTAAGGAAGCACACTCGTAACCGGGTGCAGTGAGCACTTGGGGGGCTGGTCGGCCTGTCCTGTTGGACAGGCTCAGCCCCGGTGACTCACCAAGGTGCCCGCCCAGACCAATGTCTCCCTCAATTCCTATCATCCTTCCGGCGCTGAAATGGTCTGGTCAGACCGAAAGGGCATAGCCCAACAAAACAAACAAAACTCTTTTGACACTCTTTCTGTAATTTGTGCTCAGATTTGACCTAGGGTCAACGCTCCAGCCTGGGCCCAACCCAAGGCGGGGCTAAACTGTGCTCAGATTTGACATAGGCCTGTTAATTGTACACCTTTTATCTCGGAACATTTTTATGTTTCTACAGCTCTGTAGGGCTGACAGCTCTTCCTGCGAAACCTTTTTTGGGTCGAAAATGGCAGAACATGACGTCATTTGCGGCCAACCTATCATAGCCTCTGGAAAAAAAATTGGTCACAATGTGTAAAATGGATGCCCGTAGAGGTCCTGAAAGTTTGGTGGGGATATCTGCAGTCATTTAGGAGATAGCTACGGAAGAGGACAAGGGGCCGTTTCGCCCCCCCCCCCCCCCCCCACGGGACGCGGGTTGAACACCCTTTCAACTCAGGCTACAAGGGCCCTTTGGCCACTGAAGGGCCCTTTCAACCCAGTCAGTCAAGGGCCCTTTTGACTGCGGATCCCCCCTGAGAGAAATCCTAGATACGCCACTGCCTACTAGTTCGTGAAAGGCTTCGTGCTTTGTGAACAAGAGATTTGGGCTGTGCTGTATAAGAAAGCCCTGTTGAAATACTTGTTGAGATCGAAACATCCAGAAGAAAGCAGCACGAAGGCTTCCTCATTGTCGCACAGGGTACTCGCTATATCGTGGCGGCTGTCTGCGCAGTGTGGCTACATGGCTGCAACAGGACCAGTTCGCTGCCGAAGCTGACGATGGCCGGTGGGCGTTCATTTGCAGTGGTCATTCCATTTCGCCGGTGCTCATTTGAGCTCATCCATTAATATCGGTTAATGTCGCCAAGACCACAGACTCGACCATTGGCAGCGATGTGATCACCGATTTACTGAACATCCAGCTCGTGAGAACGTGTATTATCGATCGGTGATACGGACGGACTGCATGGACTGAATGATTGCCGCTTCTTAGAACGAGACTTAGTCTAATATCAATGACAACATACCATTTCCTAGCTAGACATCAAACGTTAAAGACGGTTTAGGCTATCGGTGATCGGACCTCGCGAAGCATTGATCGATCTCAAAGTGCCCCGTTCGGCGTTTCTGGAGACAATGCCAATCTTGTTCGATAGCTGCAGATGATGTGGTACACGATCTACGAAATCGTCCGTACATGTTACGACCTTATGGGATTGGTTCACGAAACCGGATGGTTTGCGGCGTACAGAGGCCACCAGTGCTGGAACTCGCTCCCGCTAAATTACTTATCTACAGGGTGAACTTGTGATCCCAGTGATACCGATCTGAACCGTCTTAGGGAAGGCTAGTGACTAGTGAGAATAGCCACCCCTTCCCCCTAAAATAGCTACACCTGTCTGCCATATAGCTCTTCAATGTCGAGACTCGAGAAGGTAAAATAACTGGCCAAAAATATCGTGTCTCCCTTTCGTACTTCACACTTTCGTTATCTGCACACAGCCTGCTTGTAAGTACCATCTAAGGTCTAGGCACTATCCTTTTTATCTGATATATGATAATGATCTAGGTGACACGGTACATTTCTACAGAAGGTACATTTGTGCTGTTCGCTCCAACACAGAAGGTTGCCAGCGTACTGAAGACGCTCGTCTAGCTTCTGCTGCGGCTGTCAGATATTTTTCGCCAGGCCGTTCTCCCTGTTCTCTCTCAGCGCCTGTGCTAGCCGCGTCGCTTGTCCTCCCGCCCGCGTCAGTCGAACTTGCCGTTGGCCCTGTGCCAGGCGTTGCGGCGCCGGCCGATGACGGCCCGGGCCGACGGGTCGATGTACTGGTGCCAGCCCAGGTCCTCGGACGGCGGCGACGGGGGCCAGGGGATCTGTCTGGGCTGACACCGGCGCCAGCCGCACTCGGCCAGCACCCAGAGCAGCGCGGCGGCCGTGCCGAACGGCACCACCAGCAGGATGGCCTGCAGCTGGTCTGCGCCCAGCGACGGCGCCGCTGCCGCCTGCTCGCAGACAAAGCTGCTGACAAAGTGGCGCTTCCAGAGCCGCTGCAGCAGGCCCGACTCGGTCATCTTGCGCAGGGCGCGGTTCAGCGCCGGCTTCTGCGGCAGACCGCGCCGCGCGCCCACGTACGCCGGGTTGTGCTTGTAGTTGACCTCCACCACGGGCTGGTACAGACAGGAGCGCTCGCGCAGGTAGTACACCAGCCGGTCGTAGTCGAGATAGAGCACGGCGTCGTCAGGCACGACGTCACGGCCCTGACTGGCCATCAGCGACATGTCGAGCACGTTGTCGTTGTGGATGATTCGCCGGTACAGGGCGCGGTACGCGGCGTCTGAACTGAGGCGCATCGCTTCCACCGAGGCCGATGTTTTGTCCACTACCAGCGGGTACTGTGTCTGCGTAGCTACCTGGAGGCAGCAGGAGACTGCGTCAGTGACAGAGGTGCTGGGCGGGAACAATTGTCGCCGCCGGAGGCGGAACCGTGTGAGAGCTTGGGACTACAAACAATTAGGCATAAACTAATTTCCGCTTACTCTAGTTGCGTAGATTTTCTCCTCACCTAGTATGACATCAATGCCATATCAATAGAAGCATCTGCGTTCCAGAGCGGCACATCAGGCAGCTCATTGAAGCTCTGACCGCCCTGACATTGACCTTCACCCGAATTCACCGCAAATTTAGCTCATTGCCTGTGATGTGGCGGGGTGAACCAGTTGGCGCGAAACGTGGCGTGCGTCACAATAGTATGATGGTAGGATGTACACCTGCGCCATATTGAGCTCGAATGCCAAGCATGCAAATGGGAATGTCGTTGGAAGTCGCGTGGGAGAGCGACATTCGGACGATGTGATCGTTAGACAATGGAAAGAGCCATCCGTACAGCACTATCGCGTGTCAATTTGGTATTATTTCAGGCTGCATGTTGTACCCCAGTGGGCGCTTTGAGAGCCATTCGTGCCTGATGGCTACAAATGACGAAGTCGGGAATGACCCATAATCAAATGGACGCCTTGCGTTGGGCGACGCGCGGACATAGGACACTGAAATGGCGACCGGCCGGTCTGCCCGACTGACCTGGTCGACCGAGCTGAGGAGCGGCGAGACGTTGGTAGCGGTGAGGAACGAGGCCAGCTGAGCAGTGTAGGTGGCGTACACGATGATACACATGGCCCAGTGGCTGATGACCACGATGCGGCCGGCCGCCGACGCCGGCGTGCGCACGTAGCCCTGCATCATGAAGCCGCCGTAGATGGAGAGCAGGCAGGCGCCGGGGCTGTAGTCGCGCCGGCTCTCTGGCGGCTCGGAGCGGCTGGCCCGCAGCACCAGCCACAGCACCAGCGACACCACCAGCAGGGTGGCCAGCAGCGACAGCCACACGTCCACACCCAGCGGCTTGGTCAGCGCGCCCAGCATGCTCTCCGTCTGGAAGCGGGACGTCTGGCGGACGAACAGCGCGTTCCAGTAGGTACGGATGGGCACCTCGTCGAGGAAGTCCATCACCTGGAGTCGGGAGGGGTTGAGCGCGAACCAGGAGAGCGCCAGGTCGGCGCCGCCGTCCTGCAGCTGGCGGATCATGCCCGTCCAGCTGCCGTTCTCCAGCTGCACGCCGAACTGGGTGCCCTGCAGCCACTCCAGCTGGTACCTGCCGGTGAAGAGGGTGTTATAACAGGCACTGCGCTGTCGCTCTTATCCACTGAGAGCGGATGAAGATAGTTTGCTTCAGTTTCTCACTTATACATAATGTGTGTTTGAAAGGTCAAACTTGGGCTACAAAAAGCTTCACCGATTGGTGCAAGAAAAAAGAAACTCGAACAGTAAGTGCTCACAATGCAGGTTCTTCCAAACGATAATAGCCGTTTTCACGACGGGCTATCCGGCTAGTGCACCTAATTTGACCAAATCTGCACCTAATCTCTTTTACAGCAAGTATCTTTATTTTATGAATTTATTTCAGTGTTTTAATCGATGATACTCTCTCATGACAAAGCAGGCCTATAAGCAATTAGTGCAACCCTAGCTGATAGCTACTAAGAGACACACTGAACCTAATTTGACCAAATCTGCACCTAATCTGCACCAGATGTGCACCAAAGGTGTACCAGATGGCCGTCGTAAAAACGGCTATCATCACTATATTCATCTTTTCTGAAAACAATATTGCATTCACATTCATGTCCTTCTTTGTCATGCTCAATAAAACAACGAGTAATGTGCCGTAGATTACTTTCCTAGCCGTCATTTCCTGTATAGTAGAAACTCGCCGCACTTCGATTCGTCATCATTCATCAATCTGATAATACCAGCACTGAACCGCCCATGTCACACATTCTTCCATTGTATTCTATTGTCGCCCTCTTCTATGAAGGTCCCGTGTGGTTGTTAATTTAGAAGTACAGCTGCGTGCCCTCTCACGCACTGAAGCTAACCGACTTCCCCCAATAACACCGTACCGACACGTCGTGCTTAATTTACTCGAGGTGGTCGTGCGTCTTTGTGCCTTGCTGAGACGCAGGAAAGGCGATTATGGAGCCTTTCGATTACCGGCATAGCCTCTGCTCCTTTATACCTATATTGGAGTACTGTCAATGCCGACCGGAGCGTTTAACGAGTTGCGCCACGTCACCGAATGCTCGTATTCGCCGGGAGTGTAACCGGCGCAGCCCGGTGGTGACAGCCCTGTATCCCAGAAGTGTGTTCGGTCGGCTTACTATGAAGGTCGTGGCAGACACTGCATCACGTTCGTATCGAACGTGACGTGTGCGTGGCGCGTGCGACTGCGGGCCTCGCCGTGTTGCGGTCTGATGGCATGGCATCCAACAATCTGAGTGGACCGGTTCCATTACCGCAATGCAATGCACCAGATAGGCTTATCCGGTCGGCTACTTACCCGAAAGCAGTTATCCAGCAAGGGCCGGGCATAGAGTGTCAGGGAACTTAGGGGCTAGGGCTATTGTTCCTTCCCTCCTCCCTCTTCCCTGTCTATTTTCTATGCGTTTGTGTCGACCCTCACCTTCCATCCTATTGGACTGAAACTTGACAAAAATTTCCTCCAATTCAATGGTTTATAAAGCTAGACCTGCTAAAGTAGTCTCAAATGCGTTCCACATATCTACAATCGATTTTGTCGACATTTCCACTTATTATTTTCAAGCAAGCAATATTTCTGACCTCAATAGACAAATGCCCAATTGACGACCGAATCCGTCGGTCGGTCGGACCGATATTTACTTCAGCTGATCTACATTCCTACCTTTGACCAAAGAGCCCTCCAACCTCCATCCAGTCGTGCCGTCTTCTCCCCTCCCTACCGAACCCACACACATACACACACACACACACACGAAGTTTATTGGCAAAGTGTGACTGGTTGGTGGCTCTCACCTGAAGCCCACCTCCTTGGCCAGAACCTTGAGCACGTCGATGGCGTAGCCAGCGCTGGTAACGTTGCCGTCCAGCCCAGTAGTGTGGTACGTAAAAGGCGGATCCTGTCGGGAATCGAACCCGCAACGTCAGCCTCAGGAGCGAGCGCGGATCGACGGGCGACGGGATATGCAAACATTATCTGTAGAGAGAACCGTGACTGCAGAAACAGACACTGGTCTGCATTTCTCTCGTTTTCACGATTAAAGGGACCCTCCCACCTTAACATTAGATTTGAGTTGAGATAGCCAAAATGGGGTCCCTGGCTCACAATTACCGGTTTCGGCACTCACAACATCGAGAAATGCCTTAAATCGGAAATATTGAATTTCAAAATTGCAGCATTTTGATTCAGAGGGGCTAATGCTTAGGAATACCCCTCTGAATGTGTGACGTCAGTGCAAATATCTAACGATTTTTAAATGTTTGACTAAAACGTTTTGTAGCACGCGGTGGTATATGCTATTTGCGCGCAACATCTGCCGCAAACGCCGCACTTCTAAAATCAAGTCGCTAGAAACAGCGGAGATCCCAAAAAAGTAAACAAAAGTAAAAGTCTAATATCTTGAAAACCGGTGAATATTTTTCGATGAAATTTGGTAGATATTCGTTTTCGCTCTTTCTGAACCGAGCGACATCACCTTCATGCCAATTCATAAACTTTTTTGAAGGTGGGAGGGTCCCTTTAACAATAATGTAAAAGCAGCAAAAAATAGCGTCTCTGGCAGTCGCCCACTTCCTCCCGCAATCACATTTTAAACTGCGGCACAGCTAACCGCAGGCGTCGTCAGTGCTGCCATCTAGGATCAGAGATAGCAAGCGTAGGCTGCCATGCGGTGCAGCATCACTTCAGGCGTTTACACTAGCGACATCTATCGAGAAGAATGTTAATATGCACGGGCCTGTTGCATTTCGGGTGCGGTACGGGTGTCATGCATGACGCTAATGGAGATTTTGACGATCATATGGGCCTTGACACTTACGGACAGGGTTTTGACCCATTTTGTAAGGAATGAGCGGGTGGGCGGATGACTACCCCTCGGAGATAGGTTATAGGAGATAGGAGATAGGTTAGACCCTATATTGGTGACGTTATATATAGGAGATATAGGTATAGGAGATAGGTTAGATCCTATATATAGTGGGTAAAAAAAAATCAGCGAGAAGTGAGTGGTAGGTAAACGGTATTCTAATCCTCGCTTAAATGTCTATCTTAATTCTTAACTGTGAAATGATTTTTTTTTTGCCATTAAAAATAACGCCACCAGAGGACTTTATTACAACAATGAGAGCGCTGTTTAAGTGTTTGGCTACGTGACCCTGGCGCCGAGCTTGATGGACATTAATGATTAAATGATTACGATAGGTGTTGCTTTTTTTCGACGGCCATTTGACTCACCTCTCCAACGAGTACTCGCAGAGTGGTCATCGCCTCCGGGGCGGCGCTCGGTGGTGGTGGTGACTCGGCCGGGCCCAGACACTGTAGACTGGCCGGACACGTCATCGGGAGCTCGGCGAGAAACGGTCGGTACCGTCAACACCGCGCCATTTGTCTCCACACGAATACAGAGACTCGGTCAGTAGCGGGCGCCGGCGCTACACTAGGGCTCAGAGACGTGCAGGGACTGGCTCGGACCTCAAGATTGTCGAGGCTCTGACACTCGGTGACACTTGGGTCAATCCGAAGAAAATTGCGAGCGTTTGGTAATGACTTTCTTCGTCGCAGGGAGAGATCGCTCTCTTGCTGTGACGGTTTATGCGTTTTCTCCACTCAGTATTGCTTCGTTTCCTCAAGTTGGTGCTGCGTTATTTCTTTCCCGGCCCGCGGGAGTTTCGCTTTATCGTCAGACGGTCTCTGTTCTCATTCCTGCAAACCAGTTCGGAGCTCTCGGACGAGTCTCCAGACTTCCGCTGATTCCTTCTCTGCTGCTCCGTCAGCGGAGCATTTAGCTGGGGGTCCGGGAGCAGGGAGCTCCGTCCTCCGTCCTCCGGCCAGCCGTCGGTAGTTGCACCTGCGGCCACCAGGCGGCACTGCCGGCAGCCCCAGCGGTGCGCTGCACCCGAGTGGCCGTCCAGCGGCTCACTGCGCGGGCACAATCGGCCCCTCCCTCTCCCCAGGGCATAGGTGCGCCGCGCCGACTCCGCCCTGCCTCAGCCAATGACAGGCCTGTTTTCGAGTGGGCCACTGATAAAGCCAGGACAATGAAAACGTCACCAGGTAATAAACGCCGTGCGTGTCGATTGACGACTTCGCCGTTCACAGCAAGCGCGATGTTGATGTGAAATGTGAGCTCTGCAGAAATAGTGAAGTCTGTTGATTTGCTATCGATTTCTTGGCCATTTTCCTATTTGTGCCAAGTGTGCGTGAAATTTGTTGCGTTGGCCGTTGGGAAATGGGAATTACATATTTTCAAGCGTCATTTATGTTTTTCGTTGAATGTTGGGCCTTTTATCGATGCTTGCTATCAATTCAATGTGAAGTGTTTGGATGAATGGATTGAGAGAGGCAGAGTCTACGCTAATGAGTGTTGCATAAACCTTGTGCAAATCGTGTGAGCTAAGCGTGTCCCGATACTGAGACAAATTCTTCAACACTCAGCGACATCCCTTTTCAACCTCGCCAGTTATTCTATGGGCAATGTAGTAAATTCAAGCACCACCATGGTCCATCAAAACCCTGCATCGAACGCCTTAGAGACTCAAATCTTCAGGCTCCAATGATAAAAAGACACCCATAGTTGGTCAGCAGCGCTGATGCAGCAGATAGAAGAAATAATATCAATATTCAATATCACATCTAAAGAGGGCTGCGAAAACTGATTCGATCTCAAGATGTGTGCGGTTTATTTAAAAAGACACCAATCTAGTACACAATTAGCAAGTAACTCATGGGAATCAACAGCAGTCAGTATGCATTGTAAAAACACGATCAATTCACCCAAAACAAGCAAACGGAACATAACCTTCTTGTTAAACGTGCAAACGAAACCCACAGTCATTCACAACCAACCGAACGTCAAGCAACAGCAACATATGAGAATACGGAGGCAGCCATTGTCTCCTCAGCACAGCTGTTCAGCGGGGTGTGCCATCTTTCAGAGCTGATCGGTGTGCTGGATGGAACCCCCGATTCCTCACAGCTGTGCGGGGTGCCTGAGGGGGTGCTGGGTCCCCCTCCATTTAGAGTTGTGCGGGGTGCGGCGTCACGCCCGCCCGGCACCTATCCAGCAGCAGGCACCAGTAGTCTCTGCGCATGCTCAGGATCTCGGCCTCGAGCCGCGTCTTCTCTGCCTCCCAGTGGTGTTTCTCTCGCAGCTGGCGCAGCTCCAGCTGGTGCCGCTCGCGCAGCTGCTCCATCTGCAGCCGGTGACGGTCCCTCTCCAGCTGGTCGGAGAGCGTGTCTCCGGGAGCCGCCGCCAGGGGCGCTGTCGGCGCCGCCGGCCGGGCGGACGGAGAGGCGGGCCGGCCGCCGCCCGACGAGGGACGGCTCTCCGGGTCCACCACGGTGATACTGACGTCACAGCCCAGACGGTCCCGCGGATCCAGCATGCTGCGGAAAACAAGACCGGATCGGTCGAGACTTCGGAGACACGAGAGGCAGAGTATGCTTATTGCTGACCGATCCATTTCGAGCTATTTACGATTTTTGTCCTGAAAGTTTTATGATTCTTTTAAAGTCGTTAGACATTACGGTATTTTACTTTTATGGTGTTTACGCCACTTACCATACTTTTCGCTTTAAAGGTTCTAATGGGCACTTTACGTAGTTGCTGTTCAATAAAAGGATTCAGGGTCATCAACAACGAATGCATTGACTTTAATGCCTGTGGGCTGCGAATCGTGCATTAGAAGGGCAGTATCCGAACAGAGTTTGTTCATCTCACCTCCCCTCGGCCGTCTCTTCCTCCTCGGACATCAGCCCCTCGTCCGGCTCGTCGGACGGAGTTGTCGGCCGTCGCCGCATGGCGGCAGCACCGTTCGCGGCGCGCAGCGGAGGTGGCGCCGGCGTCAGCCGCCGCAGCTGGTTCAGAATCTGCTCAGGCGACATTCGCTGGGACCGGTGGCTCGCCTGAGGTCAGAGAGGATGTAGTAGGTTAGTGCCTCTAGTGTTGTGGGCGTTAACAATGAATCCAAATGTCTTCCAATGAGTTCGAGGGGAAATCGGTTAAAAAAGTCGAAAAGGTATCGATAAAGAATTGCCAGTAATCGCTATTACGCCTTTTCCGAAATGTCCATCACATGAAAACTCTCATCATTCAACGAAACGATAAAAATATCATGAAGGAAAGGAACGTTCTTCAACCCATAATAGAGCCGATCGACGCTCTTCCCCCCCCCCCCCTCCACGGAAGTTCATTGAGCACCCTCGCCTTAGCAGTCGGCGCGTCCTAAAGCCCCAATCAACAAACAACAAACAACAAACCCTCCCCTTCCAGCGACATACCGTGAGCGGCCTCTCCTCCACGTCAGCCCTGATGCGTTTGTAGAGCGGCACGTCGTCGCTCTCCTCTACCCCGTGCGCCTCCCGGTAGCTGGAGAGGAACGCCTTCATGTCCTCGAGTAGGGCGTCCTCCGTCACCTCCTCCTTGTTCCGCAGCTTCAGCGTCTTCATCAGGTCGTCCTTGCGCTGCTTCACGAAGCGCCGCCACACGCCCTTCACCGTGCTGATGCCCAGGTTCCTGTCGGGGACCGTAGTATGGTGTCAAGCAGGGGTTGTATCACGTTGAATGGATGACGTGACGTCAGGCAAGATATGGGCGTCAGGTAGGGTGAGCAGTGAGAGGACGTAGAGCGTTGCACATGAACCTCGGCACAGCGGGGCCGGAATCCTCCGTCCCGAAAGTACCAACGTAAAAACATTTGTTTTCAACTGAGTTGGTTTATTGAATTGATTGACTAATGGGCTTAGGTCAATCCAGACTAGTGATGTCAATTACGGAAAATCGGAATACCGATACCAAACCAAATACCAACCAAAACCGTGGAGAAATACCGAAACCAAACCAACTTGGGAACATGAGGAAAATACCAACTTTTTACCTATCTCTTAGCCTCTTAAACATTAGCGAGGGTTCATGATACCAACAAAATACCAAACACATTAGGATTGAAACACCAAATACCGAGTTGGTATCGGTTTGGTATCGGTATACCAAAAAGTTGGTATCCGACTGACATATCTAATCCAGACACAATGAGCACCGTCTACGTTTACCTATGTTTTATTTATTCACAACAAATGCTACCATCTATTCCTAGCAAAATGGCGTCTGTCACCGACCTGCCAAACTTGCGGTTGTACTCTGTGCAGATCTCCACCCAGGTCTTCCGCTTCTGCCGGAGTGCCGGGGAGTCGAGCCGGGTGCTGCCAATGATGTCGTAGGCCCGAAAACACTGCATGATGAGGTAGTGTTTGTCGGCGCTGGAGAGGATCTCGGCTGACCGTCGGCCGGCGGCCTCCTCTGCCGAGCCGCCGGAGTCGGCCGACGGAGTGTCCACCCTGAGGGCGGAGAGGGGGGGGGGGCGAGTGAGCGGAGAGGTCAGGGAGGGGTAGGGCAAGCAGGTCTGGTATCAATGGCAGGGCGGGGTAGGGAGAAGCAGTGGTCAACTGTCGGCACAAATCAGGGCAGAGTGACGGCAACAGTGGAAGCAGGCACGTCAGGCTAGGTCTGGTCAGGGTGAGGGTACGGGAGCAATGGCCAGGGCTAAAACTGCTGCAAGTGAGCACAAATCAGGGCAGAGTGGGTGAGGGGACCGTGAAAAGAGGCACGTCAGGTCAGGTCAGGGTTAAGTAGAAGAAAAATATGCGCAGCTCAGAGCCAGGACCGCACGCAGGCCAGGTCAGGCCATATCAGATATAAAGAACAGAACCTGTCAGTGAACGGTATAGACCATGAATCGAGTACGTGACTTCAGCCGTCAAGTCTGACCGATGCGTCGGCCGTCGGACCGGTCGATCGCCCTCGGATGGACATACTTAGTCGAGCATACGTCCCGCTCCGCTGCCCCCTCCCCCTCCCCCAATCTATCTGTGCATGCCGATTGCCGGATGGCCAACCGGCCAGCGCTGAATGTCATGTATAGCCAATGAGGGGCCGGAGGTTTGCCGAACGCTGCCGGCCAGCCGGTTCGACGTGATATCCTGCCGCTGTGCGTCCCAGGATCAGGAATCAGTGGAGGGCTCAGGATAGCCTAAAGGGAAACGTCTCGGCGCCGCTGTGTTTGAAAAGGATGGCGACCATTCTGCCGTAAGAACAAAGCCCGACGTAAGCGTTTTTGCCTTTGCACGGCAACATTGCCTGTCCTCATGTCAAACGCTGCCAGTCAGCCGAGCCCGTGTCCACACCCCGTCCCCCATATCCCAGTCGTCCAGCTGCCCAAAATAGGGACACCTCCCCGTACCGGAATCCAGTTTCAGCAGAGATCCGTGGTCGCCGGCCGTTCCCCCGTCGGTGGCTCGGTGACCGGCGGTGACCGTTCAGGGGGGGGGGGGGTCTGGGCGCCAGCCGGCCGGCCCGGACCGGCTCCGGTCTGTCGACTGGCCGCCGGCGGCCCGGCGCCCACCGACCGGCGACCGGCCCGACCGGACGCCGACCGTCCGACCGGCAGCCGCACCGGACGGCGGCGGTCAGTCAGTCGCCCGCGGCGCCGGGTGCGGGCGGTGCCGGGAGACGGCACAGCAGTGCCGGTAGACGGCAGAGCTGCTGGGGAGGGGCCGGGTGCGGGCTGGAGATGATGAGCGTTGCTGACCACTGGGACAGGGACAAACCAGGAGTGGAAAATATGAAGAAACTGCGTGCTGGCTCAGGAGTTTAATCTCCATTCAACAGCAGAAAACAAATGAATGCAATCCGGTACTATCGGAAATGTGTTTCTGCTCTGAATAAACATCCTGGGGCCAGGGCAGTTTCAAAGCTTTCAACTATGCTTTCTACTCACATCCCGGACGACAGAAGCACTAACATTATTATGCCAATACGGATGAATATCATGAACATATGATGGTCCCTTCGCGACTCGCGAGGTCGTATGGCGCTTACGATGGCGGGGCATCTGATGGCAGATAACCGCTCTATTCCGTTTTCGGCACAGAATATCTGCTGGCATTACCACCAACCCCCCCCCCCCCACGACACCAGACACCGACACACGGGAAAGGAAGGGACTCCTATCGCGGCGGGGGCCCACATCTGCGGCCTCCGTGCCCAGGCAGCCGCCGGCGCTGATCCCGTCCCGACTCGGGTCCGCCCGCCGTCCGTCCAGGCGCGGCGAGCAGCTGCCCGGCCGCCGCCGGCGGCGGATCCCGCCGGCAGTCCGACCGCGACGGGCCGGCATCCAGACGCGCCGCCGGCGCTGACGGCGTCATCGTCCGCGGCGGCGGCGGCGGCGGCCGTCAGGTGCGGCCGCCGCCGGCAGCGCGGCGGTGACGTCAGGGCAGCTCCGCGGGGCGCGGGCGGGCGCCGGGCGCCGGCCGGAGCCGGTCCAACACGCGCCCGCAGTGACCACCGCAGGGAGGCCTCAGAGGCGGCCAGGCTGGCCGGTCGGCGAGCGGTGCCCCTGCGGCCTGCACAGACCGGGGTTTTACCAAATATGTCGCAACGGGTTATTGCCCGTGCAATGCGAAGTCAAGGGTAGGAATTTCCATCATATTCCTACCAAACCATTCCTAAAGCATGCACGACATTTGGGTAAAATATAATAAACGTAAAAAAGGTTTGATGCACGGTCGATAAGGGTCATCTTGATGAGAAGATCCGTATAACCACGTCACGTCACATTTTCAGCATTCCGATAAAGCCGTCATCTGAGTGATAGGCATAGGCCCGACTCGAATACGGTATGGGCTATGGTCTCTGGCACAAACCCGTCGTTTTGAATCGGTACAATTGCTATCCAAGGCACCGCCGTTCGGGCTCACTTGGATGCACTTCTTTCCGAAGGTTGTAAAAAAAAAAAAAACATTGACATGACGAGGCCCATGGCATCTAACAGACAGCTGCATGCAACAAATATTATTTTTGAGGGTGGCACTTAGTAGACTCCGCGATGTGTAGGCTCCGATCAGTTTGATTTATTGCACCGACCGGCCCATACTGCGGGTCATATCGTCCGGCTGGTGAACGCTGCGTGCACCACGAATATCTAAAAGTCGCTTATTGAATTTACTCGTGACTTTTGCCGAACGGACAGTAGGAGCCGGTTTGGAAATGCGGCAATCTAACGTAAAACGTGCGACGTCCCGATCAAGAAATGAACCGGCAATGTCCCACAAGATACGTTCGACATTTAGACGGAATATGGTTCAAATAATGAATATCGAAATGGAACAAAACGGAAGGGACACTTCTCCGCTAACCGATTCCTTCTTTTGAGTGACATTGACGTGACTTCACAGTTTTTTTTTTCAAAAGTGGGAGGGGCAGCAAACAGCTCAAGGAATTCAAAGAAATGATGCATGTGGTCATTAAGCGTATGCATACCTATTACCTACTGAGGGATCCAAGCCAAACTTGACGCCACCAATCCAGCCCCCCCCCCCTCTCAACTACGGGCCGTCCCCAGCTGAGACCTACCTGGGTGGCGTGGGTGGCGGCTCGTCTTTGACCTCGACCTTCTCGACAGCCTCCTCAGTCCGACGAGGCTCCTTGGGCTCCGGCTCCCCTTCGTCGACCGGCGGCGCTCCGTCCGGGACCCCGCCGCCCTCCTCGCCCGGGTTCGACTCCAGCCACTCCAGCAGCTTCTGGAACATGAGCTCGTTAGGCACGGCGCTGTCGGTAGCTTCCTCCAGCGCCAACTCCTCGCGACTCTCGCGCCGGAACTGGATGCTGTGCCGCTTCCACAGATCCTTCAGCTGCTGCACCGTCTTGCCGCTGCCCGGGAAGCGCTGTCCGAACTGGGCGGCAATCTCGGTCCAGGCACGCCGCTTGCTGTAGACGGCTCGGTCGTCGATACGCACATCGGTCACCACGGACCAGCGCTCCATCACCTGGGATAGCAGAAACGTGCGCATTGCTGCCGTGAACTTCTCCGAGGGCCGGCGAGGCGCAGCGCGCAAAGGCTCCATAGGCGCAGTCTCCTGTTCGCCAGCGTCCATGGTGACGGCACGCGCTGGTTTGCGGCCGCACGCCGGGCCGGCCGCCCCCGCGAGCGCCGCGAACGCCCCGGGCGATCCGTCCTGCCGACCGCGTCTGGCGCCGGCCGGCGGCGGCTGAACCGCGCCCGCCGATTGGCCGGCGCGATGAGAGGCGGCCGGTGATTGGTGGAGCCGGTGAAAGGTGCCGCGGGCGCCGTCCGGCGGATGGAGGCCGCGGCGGGAGCGCGCCGGTAGCCGAGGGCGAGGCAAAAACGCCCGGCGCGGCCCGTCCGGCCCGGCGCAGCGGCCGGCGGGCTGGCCTTGCGGAGCGCCCGGCGCCGCGCCGGTGGGAGGGGCTGCCCGAGGCCCGTCACAGCTCCCAGCCCGCGGCGGCGAGAGCACGGCACACGGAGCCACCACGGGAGCCTGCCGGAGGATGGAGGCGCTCAGAGGGTATGGTCGGAGGACGTGGTTCACCATCGGGGTGTAATCAGAGAACAGGGTGCGTCCAAAAGGTACGATCGGATAAATGAGTAACACACAGGTTCACTCAGGATATGCTCGGAGGATGGAATAGAAATGAAACGATTGTAAGAACTAAGAATCCTATCATTATTTTCGCGGCAGTGTCGGAGAACGGCGATTCACCAACGAGCAACACGCTGTTTACGAATACGTGTACATGTATTACCAGAAATTATTGTATCTTTCGATACAGCCATGCTGCCCAACATACCTCAGCGCCACGGCACGGTAGCACCACAAAGATCGTGCCCGCCGCCCGCACAGCACAGCCAGCGAGCGTAAATACATTGCAGCCAGGACACGTCGGTCGCGTCTGGGGGCGACGGGCACCGCGGAACGTGTCGTAATGACGTACCGCCGTGCAGCACAGCGCTCCCCTATTTATCCACGGCGCTGATCGGTTCACAGGGGACAGGCACACCTCGTGGCACACACCTGGCTACAGCCCCACGCCCCCAGAGGCCGTGTCACAAAGATACAAAGCAGAGTCGACGGCCGGATAGGAAACTGACCATCCAACGCACCACATAAATCGCAGGACGACATAGACTGTTCACTGGATGTCTGTGACCGGTTTACTGTTTCGAAGTTCGAGCAAGCTACCTACGTGAAATACAGGCGGTCTTATAAATGCGGTCACCCACCCAGTGCCCAGCTAGCTCGGATACAGACGGCTTCTCAGAGCTCATCCTCAATGTATCGCATGGACATGTTTCGCCACGGTAGCGGACATCATTCTACCAATAAAGGCACGAGAAAACGGCATAGCAAATCGGCGGGCAAAAAATAAAGCGAAAACTACCAGCCTCATACAAATAGCGCACTACGGCCGCAAAAATGATAACCATCCTCTCATGGTAAGCTCAGTGCCTTCACTGTTCGCAAAAGCTAGGCGTGGACGTCATGCTTGCACGATACAACAACGATAGTCTAACGGTTACAAGGTATTATACAGCCCAACAAAACAATGTACAATTTTCTGTCAGCGAGCTCAAACCGACAACACGGGACAGATGCAAACAACTCTTGGCTACCACGCAAAGACTTCCCGCATTCACACACGAAAACACTACGATGCATCCTCTCAGTCATCTTCCGATCAGTACCACACGCAGAAAGAGCCTGTCGCAAAGAAATATCGAATTTCTCAACTAAACGATGGATAGATCTTCAGATACAAACAAAACCCAGTGGACATTTATAGAGTCAAACCAGATGTTATACACCCAAAGCAAACCAGTAAATTAAATCACTTGCTAAAACCAAAATTCAGCACAAAGCACCATCAGTCTGGGCCTAACACCCGCCGTCATGCCGACAGCAGCGCCAGTAGCGGCGAAAGGACGAAGCTGCAGCTCCGGTGAACTCCGCCAGATGGCAGACCTGCGCGGACTGTCGTGTTGTTTTCGATCCGCGATGCGGCCTCTACCGGCGATACCGTCCGAGGAAAGCCTTGCAGTTGGGGCAGTAGTGCTCCTTGTCCATACACTCATCCATGCAGCACGGGATCAGGCAGCAGCCCATCCAGCAACTGGGGAAAGAGATGGAAATCAATCAGACGATCCAGCAGACAACATCATATTTAGCAACTGGGGGAAGAAGGACAAAACATCAATCTGACATTGAACTGAGATCACTAAGTGGGAACAGATAGTGGCACTTAGACAGACACTGAAGGATCAGGCAGCAGCCCATCCAGCAACTGGGGAAAGAGGGAATAGGTCAGACACTCGGGCATCAGAGAGCAGCTCATCCAGCAGCTGGGAGCAGAGAGGGAAATCAGACTAGGACACTCAGATCAGACAGCAGCCGATTCAGACCGTTCCGTGCTTCTATCCTCAGGATACATAAATCCTTCTCCTCCACGCCGCAACCCCCTCCGGGCTGGACAGGCAACTTTATCTCATGCGGGCTGGCACCGCTGCTCCCGAGGGAGCGCACCCCGTAGCCGGGTGCAGTGAGTACCTTGGGGCTGGGTGGCCTGTCCTCTGGACGGGCTCAGCCCCGGTGACTCACTAGGGTGCCTGCCCAGACCAATGTCTCCCCCTATATCCTATCATTCTCCCGGCTCTGAAATGGTCCCATTGGACTGAAAGGGCCTAACCCAACAAAACAAACAAAGTCCATCCACAGCTCGGGGCAGAAGGAACAGGTCAGACTCGGGGATCAGGTATGTGGCAGCGGCCCATCTAGCAGCTGGGGGAAGGAGGAACATCAGGCTCTGAGATCGAACAGCAACTGGGGCCAGAGTAGAACTCAGAATCAGACACTAAAGAGATCAGACAGCAGCTAATCTAGCAGCTGGGCAGATAGAAAGAACACAGAGAGACACTGAGATCAATCAGCAGCTGGGGGTAGAGGGTTGCTGCTGTCGCGACGACACAATACTAAATGAATGGAGCGATGAACAGCCCAGACACACAGGCCGTGGTACTAGGCGAGGAGCACTTCCTCCCTCTCTCCTCACCCGAACAGAGCGATGAGCAGCCCGGACACCCAGGCCGTTGTGCTGGGCGAGGAGCGCACGCTGGTGTCGATCTCGGCGTGGCAGTGGGGACACATCATGTGCGTCGGATTCGGTCCCGTGTACGGCACCGTCTGGATCACCGTAGCCGTCGGCACTGCCATCGGCACTCCGCCTGCGGAAACGGGGGAGGTAGGGGTGGTCACATGTCGGTCACGGGTCACATGTCTCAGTTATTGCCGAGTGCCCGGTACAGGTCACATACAGTCAACCAGCGACCCCCTACATTAGCAATAGCTACTATGAATACTGAATGCGCCAATATGATCAAAAGATAGCAAGTTCAGGCTTTTATATGCAGTCCAAGTAACACTAAGCTCAATAGAAGATAGAGCCAAAAGAGGAACACCGGATCCCATTGAGAGTCGATAGATGGCAGAGGTATCAATGAGGGATGTCCGCATTCCACACACGCCTGAACGACAAACATCTCAATATATCGCAATTACTGCATTCAGGTTCACAGCAATACGGATTCAATATCATTTCAACCCTGGAAGACATAATCCTCTATACAGAGCACTGCGATCCCGTGACATCTCGAGGCTATCTCTATACGTCATTGCTTTGTGATAAGGGGCGCGCCTGCCGCGTAGAGGGTATCGCGTCACAGCAGCTGTTTGGTGACCACGGTCTGCGTCCGATAGCGACTATCAGTGCGATACGGCCCGCCGCAGCTCTCTCGGCCTGGTATCCTGAACCACTCCCCCACTCCCCCATAAACCTCCCAAAAGCACACGTTCTTTCTTCAGTACGGCAAACCCGTACTATCCACAAGTTAGAAATCCGTGCCCCTTACCCAGTCCGGCGTCCCGTCCCCCTCCTCCAGTACTCAATACTCAGCCGGTGCCAGTATACGTCGGTACATACACGTCCCCTCCTTAGTACGCCGACCGTACTCAAACCCATTTGAACACATCGTACCCCGCGCCTCCCTGGTCCGGTATAGCGAACTGATACTCAGTCATCACTGTCAGATAGGCCCCTACCTGTCTCCGTTCAGCCCTCCCCAGTCCGGTACCCTGAGCGACATTCCGATATCCCTATCAGATTACCCCTTACATATGCAATCCGTTTCCAGTCCAACACCAGTATCGATATCCCTTTATCCCACAGATAATTCGTGACCCTCTCCAGTCCAACACTAGTATCGATATCCCGCTGCCACAGCCTGATAGTCCCGTATAACTCCTCACTCTCCCCATTCCGGGTTCCCGTCCCCCTCCCCACTCCGTAACCCGTACGCACCTGGCGGCGGCCCGTACTGCCCGTACTGCTGCTGCTGCTGGTGCGGCCCGTACTGGCCATACTGCTGCTGTTGCTGCTGCGGCCCGTACTGGCCGTACGGCTGCTGTCCGTACTGGGGGTAGCCGGCGGCGCCCGGAGGAGGTCCGTAACCGCCGTACGAACTCGGCTGCTGCTCCGGTGGCTTGTAGTTGGCCGGGCCTGCGGGAATGGACGGCATGGGATTAATTATTGATAAATAAATACACGACCGAGAGGCACCGCAAACGGTGGAGTGAAGTAGTGTAAGAGACGAAGGAGGAAGGAGAGTCAAAGGGGTGATGATGAGCAGAAATGGGATGGTGGATCGAGATTTACCTTCATTAACCCACCGACTCACACGTCGCAGCCAAAGACACAGGACTAGCTGGGACAAGACTGGGCACTAGGCAGTATACACCATACAGCTGACCCAACGGACAACATTCAGCAACGGGAAACACGTGATCCACATATTCACAGAACAGCGTGACAGCGCGCGGGAAGCGGATGGGGGATTCCCGCTGCGGCCCCTCAGTTCAGCGGCGTGTGACCTCCCATTCCATCCGGAGCACAGGGTGGGCCTCCGCCGGCAGATGCAGCCAGAGCCCAGGGCCAAAACAGCGACCGGGGGTTCCCCGTCCGTCCCCTCGCACTGAAGGTGTGCGGCAGAGCCACCGCTGAGGACCGTGCACGGGGCATCTGAGAGCTTTGGGGGTCTTACTAGACACAAGAGCTGATATAAATGCCAGCACACATTAACCCACATACATACATGAGGTAGGGTAGCCGCTGTCCAGCCGGGCTTTCTCTTACCTGGCGGAAGGTGTGGGGAGGCGCCCTCGCTGATGGCCTGGTTATAGCTGGGAGGACCCTGACTCGGCTGTTGGTAGTCGTGGGAAGGTGCCGACGGCTTACTCATGGCGATTTCTCTGGGTTACCGGCGATGAAACTCTGTGGACAGAGGCAAGGGGTTAGCTAAAGGTATGTGCTATACAACGGGTCACTCAACAAATTGCGTTATACGGCGGACCAGCAGTAACCTGCGTCAGTCAGCTGGCTCCGTATGTGGATAGTCATTCGGTAACTCTGGTCTATACATAAGACAAAGGTTAGACATCTGATTATAATCAAATGTCTGAATGTGCAATGTTGGCTCTTGCTATCTATCAATAGCCAATATTGCACATATTGCTGTCAAAAGAATTGACGCCTACTTTCTGATTTGACTTGTGAGCCACCACCATATCAGAAGCAATCTTTATCATCCCCCCTCCCCCCCCAACAATGTTTTTACCACTTCAACCGGCTACCGTCGCCAATCCTACTTCTACAAGTACAACCGCACTTTGGCCAGTCCCCGCGCGCCGGTGATCCATCGATAGTCGACTGTACAAATCCCCTGGGGGAGGTGCACGCCGCAATTTGCCGAAAGCCGTCGGGTAAACACGTCACCCGGCGAGCCGTCCGTGACCGGCAGCGTCCGGCGGCGGGACGAGTGGACAGCGCAGCACGGAACTGTGCTGCATTCAATGTCCTATCCAGATGTAGACAACACAGCCAGCTAGATAGCCGTCCGGTCTACTGTCCAGCACAGACAGACAGCCGCCCGTCCCATCCTGTCCCGCCGTGGAACACAGTCCTTCCAGACAGCCGTCCTGCCCAGTCCAGACAGAAAGACAGCCGTCCCATCCAGTCACGAATCGTAGCGCCGCTAGATAGCCGCCCGCTCTGTCCTGTCTCGTCAAGCCACGGAACGCAGCTCCGCCAAGACAGGTGCCGCTAAGTCAGACAGCAGTCCTGTCATGTCCCGCTAAGCCAGTCAGACAGCCGTTCTGTCCAGCCCCGGCGGCTCGCACGCAACGCCACCACCGCCGGGGCCGCCGGTTTATCGATTAGTCGAGACATACCGGCGCATGGAGCAGCGTCCGAGGTCAGGGCGGCAGGCCGACGACGCAGTACAATGTCCCGACCGGTGGAGCGGGACGAAAAGGTTACGCGCTTATCGACTAAGTCGAGTCATGTTTGTCTTTCCTAAAGGTGTTGGATCGAAGCGGCTGTGTGCCTTTCATATGGGCGTTTGACGGTGGGAAACCAGCGGCAAACCCGACACGACCGGACAATAGGCGACGAAACCGTTCAATGACGATCACGTGGAAAATTTGGCTCCATGTGACGACATATTCCTGACAACCAGCAGGCCGCGACATTTTCGTGCCAGGCGTTATTACTACCCATGCCACATCCTTGCAGTTGTTAAAGGAAATAGTTCACTTTCACGAAATTATTTTTTTGCAATGGATTTGTGATTTTTTATGTTCAAAATGATCAGCAAAGAAAATAAAACCTTTTTATAACAAAATATTATTTTCTATATTTTTGATATAGGAAGAACTTTTCAGTTTCTGTAAGGCACACGCGATCCAGTATGAAAAGAGCATGGGTCCCGAAAATTCTTCAGAAACTAGAGAAATTATCGCGGCCACCGGCATTTGGGCGATCTGCTCGTGCTTTTGTTACTGGAGCGCCTCACTGGAGCGAATTTCTCTAGAGTTCTCGTAGATAATTTCTCTAGTTTCTGAAGAATTTTCGGGACCCATGCTCGTTTCATACTGGATGCGAATATATGCAAGGCACTCATCCTGACGAGAAATAGAATATCTTTGCCTAGGGTGATCGTTGGGCTGTAAAAGCTCCTGATTTATGCTCGTCTCAGCCCAAGCTACGGAACTGCTATTCCAGTTCAAAACCCATGTTAAAATGTGAACTATTTCCTTTAATGTTAAAGTTCAACAAGTGTCAGGTCCGCACTAGCGACTCAAACTTTCGCCTGGCCTCCGACAGTTGCCAGTGTCGGCCAATGGGGTCGTGGGCTGCTCGTCCCGTTGATCTAGTTGGCCACAGACTACCCCCAGTCTTGGGTTTCAATTAGCCACACTGGCAGTCCCGTCAGTACTATTCGGTCATACATCGTTCGCCGTCAGTTTGAAAGTCCGTCAGTCTCGCTCAGGTCCACCAGTCTCAGCCAGTCACAGAATACCATCCTTCAGTCCCGTCAGTCTAAGCCAGTCACAGAATGTCAGCCTTCAGTCTCAGACACCTCACACAGCTACATTCGGCCACGCCGCTCCAGCCCACGTCGATCCACGCCGGAAAAGCACGGGATATGGAACCGTTCCGTGGCCTTCACTCCACCTGACCCGGCGGACCGCGGTATCGGCCCGCTCTGGCTCACCACGAGGCGAGCGGTGAGCGCGTTGCAACAGGCAGAGCGGCGAGAGCTGCCGGGTAGAGTAGGTAGAGCGGTGGGCGCCGATGGGCAGAGCGCTAAGCGCCAGACGCCCCCCGCCGCAAATGGGCGACCAGTCAGCAATTTTCACCGACCCAGCCCTGCAGCCGGCTGCAACAACGAGCCACCCGGATGCGACGGATCCATTCCCGTGCTGAGCCACCAACAAACGCTGCCTGCTCGTACAAGGATCCAGCCGCATCGCACCGTCAACCGTGTGTTATTCCAACATACATCGGTTCTCGTAAGGCGCTGGCGTGTAGAGCGTTTGGAGAGCGCTCTCAGTCTGTATGGCCGACGCCACCACAATAACAAACGACCACGTCAGGGCGGCGGATAACCCGGCACCGCCGCGGGCCGAGGAAATTCCGACTCAGACGGCCTGTGGACCTGACAAACGGCTAAACCCGGGCCACAGCGCCTGTCGAATGGGAGACAACAGGGCAGGGCTAGGGTCCGTCCCAGGGCAGGGTCTTGGCCGCCGCACCTCCATACGACCCTCTCAACAGGCAAGCCATCAATATACCGGGGCGCCAATATCAACACAAGATTCCTGAGGGCGAGATAAACATTGCCTGCCATAAGATCAGCTCCATCCCAGCCACAAGCCAAACCCACTCACCCTAAGAACACACCACAGTCTTCCACTAAAACTCCTGTAGCTGTGACCGATTCAAAGGCTCGTCTGCCACACCCTCCTCTCACAACACACCGAGGTGCACTGCGCCGTCTGCGCAGCACACGTCGCGCCGACCGACCGACCGACGGCGGCCGTGACGTCACAATGAGCGAACGATGACGTCATCCTCCCGGGCCGAGTGGCACCACGGCGGGCGGCTCTTCTCCCGTGATCCGGGGAAGCCCCACATTCCTAATCTGCCCGGCCATAGGCTATGGTGATGGTGAGGTCCAGGAGTGCGGTGAGCTGTGACCTGGAGAACAATCAGGAGCTGTCGGCAGGGGAGGGAGAGAGATAGAGGGAGAGAGAGAGAGAGAGAGAGAGAGAGAGAGAGAGAGAGAGAGAGAGAGAGAGAGAGAGAGAGAGAGAGAGAGAGAGAGAGAGAGAGAGAGAGAGAGAGAGAGAGAGAGAGAGAGAGAGAGAGAGAGAGAGAGAGAGAGAGAGAGAGAGAGAGAGAGAGCTGGTAGAAGTCTCACCAAGAACAGTCACTGGCTCGCCGAGGTCCCTGCGGGCGTGGCAGGGTCAGTCACATCAGTGCCCGAAGTCAGAGACACCGACAAGACATCGACATCGGTCGTGCCGTGCGGTTCGTTGGATACAACAAACGAGTTCACAACGGACACTACTGCACGCATACATACCTGTATCGTGTCCCACGCCAAACATACGTGGAATAACGAGACGTACAACTCAATGATGAAAGAGCCCGAAGGAACATCAAACACGCATAAAGGCAAATATGTAATACGTGTCCCAAACCTGTCTCCACCAAGCGCCCCTTTCCTTTCGAATGACGTCAACGTGACGTCACACCACTGAACGACTGCCACGTCATCTCATGCCTGGGCAGCGCTGTGACAGGGCGAGAAGACAGCATTTGACGTCACGGGTGACGCAATAATGATCAGATAAGCAGCCCGAAGCAGGCCTGAGAAGTGAGAACCGAGGCCGCCCAATTGCCCGACCGCGAGCACGTTGTGACGTCCGATGAGTCAGCGTAGTGAAAGCAGAGGAACGATGGTGCCGCGTGGGCCCAGGAAGTGTAGACGCGTGCAGTGTGACTGTGCACGCACCCTAATAGCATACACGTAGTGCTTAATAGAGAATAACCCATTAGTAAATAGAGGAACACCAGAACATATAGGGAAAAGTGGATATGCGACAAAGGAAAACAACGTGTCTAGGTAGGTATAGGTGATCATCAGGTGTGTTGAATATAGATCGCAGTAGTCGATGCTATTACGCCGGCATGATGAATGGTGTTTATTATTATGTGACAAGAAGGAAGACAAGCATACAGTTACCCATATAACGGCAACCGACGGACAACCACTGATAGGCCAGGCATGACAGTCAGGGTCAGCCAGAAAAGAGGCCGTGCATTTCAAGCCGAAAATATCCAAACAGCGCATTCCGAGAGCTAGAGCAGCTACATGAGAGCTGTAGTACTTATACGAGGTAGTTGTTACACGGGACTCGAAGGAAGTAAGTGCAGGCGCTGAAATAGCTCGACATAATGTGTCGGTTGTCAGTGGTTAGGTATAATAAAACCGAAATCCAGTCGTCGACCTGTGCCGAGCGCAACAGATTGACTCGGGGTAGACCTCCACTAGCAACGACCCAAATGATCAGCATCCAGCTTTAAAACGCAATACATTCGTTAGCGATCCGGTTAAGGTTTGGTTCAACAAGATCGATCAAGTTACAGCGATAAAAGAGAACGTCGCACTCATCGCCGACCTAGGTTAAGAACATCAGACTTCAACTGGCCACTTTCCAGCAGCCACTTGGCGCAGTTCGAACCCAATGTTAACATAGCTAATTCCCACGGCCACGACGTGGCTGTTCAAACTTGGAGTTTGGATTGTCTCCTTAGGAAGCGACCGGAACGTTGTTAAAATGTTTCATCGGGATTTCACTTTCCTCTCCATCCACTCATTGTCAATGTTCAATGGGCATCTCAGACGCCAAACGGTGAGGCCCCGATATAGCATCTGACCATTGACCGGTAGTACAGGGCCAGGCGAGCGAAACTGAAACGACCGATTCCTACCGATGCCACGAAGCGAATATTCCAACCAGACATCAGAAGCGCCTACCGGCTCCGCATCAGTGCAGCCTGTATACCTTTCATCTAAATATAGCTCAATCGCGAGAGGATCAATACTGGCGACTGACTAAGTCAGATCATATCCATACACGGTACACCCGAGAAGACGGCAATGGCGGACTCAACTACAAGCCTTCAGCAGTTAGAGCGGGGGCACAACTCACCAGTTTCATTGAGAAAAAAGGATTATAAGAGACTGATCCGGGCACTATTGAGTTACTAGAAAAAGAGACAGTCCTCACTCTAAGAAAAACTCGCTTGAAGCCCGAAATGTCCGAGATGGAGGTGTCGACTTTCGGCTTTCTTCGTTTCTTTTCTTTTAATCAAATAATTTCGATCTGTGCTGCTTCTTAGCGGGCGGTCATCTTAGCGACCAGGTGCTGCGCCACAAACCACTTGAGCTCTGAGTTTGATAACGCCAGTTTCAGCTGCACCTACAACCTTCTGAGGCTGCTAGTCAGCTTCTGTTTATCTATGTCCCCAAGAAGATAGCTCAGAGTGTCTCTATTAGGTGGATATTGCGGGACCATATCACAGACCCATCCTTCATCTACATTAAAGTCCAGCAGACTTGATTTGAACTATTGATGGGCTTAAAAAGCAGGTGCTCTAGAGAGTAGCATAGGTACGAGTAATTATGAATGTAAAATGAAGTCTCAGGGATTCTCTGAATATTAACCCTCGCCCTTATTGGTGTTTTTCCAGCCGCGAACGTATAAGGGGGTGGGAGGGGGGGGGGGGGTCCGTTGGACCCCCCCCTTGCCGTTTCGCCCCTGATCGAGCTAGAGCTTCGCAAAAAAAAAAACAAGCGTGTTGCCCTGACGAGAGGAAGCCGATGATACCCAATTTTAAGGTCCTAGGTCATTGGTTGACCTTGCAGGTCAGGTCAATGACCCAAAAGTCGGGAAAATCGGGACCAGTTGAACATCGCAAAGCGTGGCTGCTATGGGGTTTTTCGGGGTGCTGATCACGAATAACATGTTAGATTTGATCACAGATGATGTCTTCATGCATTTAGTCCAGGTCGGGTCAGGTCAGGTCAACCAGTAGGGGTCCTGCCGGGTACATTCCTAGTAGGTGTCAACCGCCTCTGACAGCTTCATAGCATGTTACGAAGGAACCAAAACTACTTCGTAAATGTTCATGTGGTTGCTAAATTCGAATTCAGCTCCAAAAACTGGCCTGGAAACATGTAAAACTCGAAAAAGTGAGCCGAGGCCACCAAAGGTCAATGACCTGATCTGACATTCAGGTGACCTTGACTGTTGACACCCACCCTTATGCATGGGGGCAACATCATATCACATGTTTAAACGCTTGAAACCACGAAAAGTCCGCAAACGCGCGGCTAATGCGAGCCGACATACGCCGAATCGCGATTTCGGCCAAACATGGTCTCGAAAAGTAGGTCATGGGTCAAAGGTCATTTGGGTCAGGGCCATGAAATTTTTAGAGTAGGTGTAAAATTGATTAACGCGAGGGTACTGAAAGTTTCGTCGCGATCGGCCGCTTTTTACGCGAGCTATTCACGAAAAACCATGGGGTGGGCCCGTTCGACCCCCCCCCCCCCCCTATACGGGCGAGGGTTAATGAATCCATGGACCACAACTCCATGGTTAGGAAACAACATGTTTAACACTATACAGTGAACCAATTAAAAAAAAAATCATTCTTATAATTTGCGTAACCTTTCGCTCAGCCTCACACCAAATTTTTAAAGGATCATCCATTTTTTCTAATTTTTGCCAGCTTTCGCTAAGCCTCATGCACATCTTGTCAATTCCTGGATTCTTCTTCCAGGAGCCATGGGTGGAGCTTTTCCAGGAAAGTTGGTGGGGCAAAAAGTTGTCAAACCTACAATGTCCGATTGTTAAGTTAGATAAAATTCAACAATGAATCAATTCTTTTCATTACAGAGATAATATTTTGCATTACACAGACATTTCAAAGCTCCTCAATGCGAAAAACATAGGTTTGCTAATCAGTAAAGTCCTGCAAATCGGCTTAAGTTGGTGGGGCAAAACGCTTATTGGTGGGGCAAAATGGCAAGTTGGTGGGGCAGGCGCCCCACCAAGTGAATAGGAAGCTCCACCCCTGCCAGGAGCACTTCAAGGTATGTCAGGTATCAAGTACAAAGCCCTTGCACAGTGTTGGTCACTTTCATTGATGACAAGCCTCCCTTTCCAGTACTTTCAACCATTTTGGTCATGATGGAGGGGCAGGTGAATGCCGTAATACAGAACCATCACAGATCACCATTTCTGCTAGGAGAAAGGAGTCAACGGCAAACCAGACTGCCACTAACTGGCCCCAGACTATGCTCGGGGTTACATGAGCAGAGTTAATACGCATTACAAACGGACTACAATGGTGAGCGAATAGGAAAATCCGTTCCTGATACGCATTTACTTGCTCATGAAACCCCGGTATATGTTGTCTCAGACAGAGCTGGGCAGGGGCTCCTCCAAAATCTGCCCCACACCCTTGACCACACCACAGCTCACATCTGCACTGCACTGCGACCGCAGTACCTGGGCCCTGGCCGGGTCATGGGCTTTTATGGAGTCCCTTGTAAAAGACTGCTCTTTGACCTACCTGATCTTGTCAACATGACCTGTTTATTGGGTATTCTTAGAGCAGGCGTCTCACATGCTGCCACCGGTTTGGGAAAAGTCGCTAGATTCGTAAGGTCTGACGATGATGATGATGACGATTGGGTTTGATGGCGTGCCCAAATTCTGAGGGTTATATGACGCCAGTAACTTATCTTCTTGCGTGAGGTGCGGGGCAAGAACTGAACAGCGAGTTAACAACAGTCTTAAAGCGCAGGTGGGCGTGCTGAACAATGGTGAGCAATGTGCAGTTTTCTCTCAAAGCACGAATAAAATGAGGTAAGAACGGGACAACAGTCCAGATAAGGTCTAGAGATATTTCTACCAAATCGTTTTATAGGGTATCATGTATCATGTATCATGTATTAACAACAATCACGAATGCCGGTTGGCCCTGGTGATGTTAAATCTGGTTCACACATTATGCACACATCAGTATCGCACATACACACAAGTACATACACACAAGTCTGGGGTAATTACATAGCGGCGATTTAACCCGCGCCCCGTAGGGCTACCGGCGGACCCTAC